AAGCAGATTGAACTCAAGATGCTGCGAATCCAGAGAGGAGGATTGCAGGGGGTCTTCCCTGAGCCCCCGGGTGGAGTGCAGCAGCACTGAGAAGTTCCAGAGGAGTCGGCAGAGTCCAGCAGGGTCATCACCCACAACTCCCAAGATGGGGCTGCATTTTTTTATGGTGTTGGCCTCTGGAAGCCAAGGCAAGTCCCCACTGGCTCACGTAGTGTGTGAGCACAGCTCTGGGCCAGTGCTCCCAAACTCCTCCTGTCGCAGGATGCCGGGGTATGGCCTTTGCCCTCCTCACTGCCCGGGCCCCCAGCTGTGCTGCTGGTTGAGGCAGAGGAGAGAGGCGCTGCACGGCCGTGCGTGCACTCTGTAGGCGTGGACCGAGGAGGAAGCAGGGTGGCTTGCGGACGCTCAGGTTGCAGTGGCTCTGCCAAAGTCAGCTTTCCAGGCTGAGGGAGAAGCTGGTGGGTGCCTGGAAACTCAAGGTCATCTGGAACTGAGTGATGGTGGCGGTACAGTTCAGTAAAATGGTGGCCCCAATTCCCTGCACCATGCGGCTGCCTGTGGCTGTGCCAGTCTGCTCTGGACCTGGGGAATTGCTGAAAACACCTAACAGGCAGCCATCTTGGGCTCCCCAAACTTTTACCATTCCTCAACTTTCTTGCCCTTCAGACAGTGTGCTTTTAGCCCTGCTGCTTCTTTTGCTTGCTCTGGTCTGTCGATGTCTCCCTTGGCACGTTTCTTACACTTAGCATACTTTCTGGCGAAGGCCGTCCCTTGTCTTCTGAGCGTTTAATGATGTCAGTTCCTAGGAAGTTGATTGCTGGCGTGTTGTTTGACTTTCCGGGTAGCGCCCTGTGCCCGGAGGTTTGGGTGTGTTTTGGCGTTGGATGTTATCTGATCACTGAAGGATACCGATTCCTTCTCGGAGCCCAGGGGCACCGAAGCTATTTCAGTGCTACGTATGTGCCCCAGGCCTTCTGTTAATAATGATCATTTAAAACTAATTTAGTCCTGCAGCACTCACCGGAGTCCAGTTGGTCCCAAATCTTCAGTTGAGGTGTTGCTCAGAATGAACTGGAAGACTGCATCAAACACAGGGCAGTCTGTCCCTGGGAGCCCCTGGCTGGGCCTGGGTTGACATGTCTCCTTACCCTACCACGCGAATTCCACACAGTGGGGTCATGTCTGGAGTGTGCAGCCCAAGACTGGGGGAACCCGGATGTAGGACCCGTAGCTCCCTGCTGAACTGGGCTCATTGCCCATGCTGCCCCAGCAGGCCACCGGTGCACAGGACTGAGCAGCAGGGCCCAGAGCTGCGGAGGCCCTGCCTGAGGACGCTGAGCTGGGCGCAGGCTGCGGCATCGGCTCTGGCTTGTTTGCTGCCCTGGCCCTCATTGTTGGCGAAGCCCTGTGGCTCCTGGCTGGCTGCCCAGTGCTGGAGGACAGTAATGAGGCTGGTCCCTGAGCCCTGGCATGTCCCAGGTGTGCCCCCCAGGCCCACCATAGACCAACAGAAAGCACCCCCCATGGGATTGCAGGCGCTGCCTGATGGTGAGCAGGCCCACGGGCTTCATCCAGGCGCTGACCCTGAGCTGGGTCTTGGGGTGATCAGCTGAGCTCTGAGATCCAAAACATGGGGGGGGGGGGAACTGCCTGCCCTGGCCTTGCACGGCTGGAGCCGGACAGCAGTTAGGACAGGGATGGGAACTGCCTGCCCTGGCCTTGCACGGCTGGAGCTGGACAGCAGTTAGGGCAGGGATGGGAACTGCCTGCCCTGGCCTTGCACGGCTGGAGCCGGACAGCAGTTAGGAGAGGGGTGGGAACTGCCTGCCCTGGCCTTGCACAGCTGGAGCTGGACAGCAGTTAGGGCAGGGATGGGAACTGCCTGCCCTGGCCTTGCACGGCTGGAGCTGGACAGCAGTTAGGGCAGGGATGGGAACTGCCTGCCCTGGCCTTGCACGGCTGGAGCTGGACAGCAGTTAGGAGAGGGGTGTCAGAGGCTGCCTCGTTGTGGAACCCTCAGATGCCCGTCTTGGGGCTGAACCTTGGGCGCTGGGGGTCCGGTAGGTGCTGAGATCAGCTTCTGCTTGCTGTCCCTGTGGGCGGCACCTCCCCTGGCGCCGGGCTCCTTGGAGGACGCAGGTGGCTGGGTCCCTGCTGCTTTCTGCAGTGCAGCTCGGCTCCTTAGGGGAGTGAATCATAGGACAGAAGATCTTCCTCTCTGTTTCTCCTCTCTGTATATCCGCCTTTCCAATAAAAAAATAATAAAAATCTTTAAAAAAAAAAGTGCAGGGCTCTTGGGATGCACCTCTGTCTTGGCATCCTGGGGGAAGGTGGTTGGCAGAGCTCATGGCACTGCTGCCATCTGGGTTGTGTGCTCCTATTCCTCATGCTTGGCAAGGCCTCAGACCCCTAGAGAAGCAGATGGGAAAGAACCCCTGAAATGGTCTCCTCTCTGTTCTCTCTGCAGCTCTGGTGGGATGCTTGCTGGAGTCTCTGGGCTGGACATGTGGTGATGTCTGGCCACCTTCGTGCTCGGTCCACCGCAGCCTGCCGTGTGCAAAGGGCCTCCCTGTGCCCGCACAGGTGGCTTCCTGGGCGACCACCGCTCCCACGTGTGTGCCCTTGCGTGCGTCTCCTGCTTAGGTGTTAACATCTGAAACTATTTTCTGTCGCAGCTCTGGCCTCGTCTCTCACGCTGCCAACATTTCCATCACCTTAGGTTCGTTTTCCAATGTGTTTATTAGAACAGATACGTGTATTTTACATAAGCACATAGGACACTCTCGCATCTCTCTTCCTTTTAATTTTGTACGAACACAGATTTATCACCACAGTTTAATTCCTCCATTCAATGAGGAATAGTAACAGGAAAAGTCACTGCTCCACTGTGAGCTATAATGAATATCAGCATTTTCACTCATTACTTTTTTGTAATATTAACTACCACAAAATTTTATCTTTTGGGCTCTGACTTACTGAGCACAGTAGTGTCCAGTTTCATTAGTTTGTTGCAAACGAGCGGATTTCATGGTTTGTACGGCTGTGTAATACTTCTTGGTGTGTGTGTAATCTATCCTTCAGCCGGTCATGATGCCATGCCGTGACTGCTGGGACTCGAGCGGCTGTCGGCGCGGGTTCGGACAGCTCTCCCACAGGCCGGCTTCATTGCTCAGGGACATTCCCAGGAGTGGGCACCTGGGGCATTTGGTCAGTCTGTTTCCGGAGCCCTGAGCCATCCACATGGTTGCATTAGCTGACCTTCCCACCCGTGGTGTCAGGCACCCGTTTCTCCGTGTCTTTGCTGGTGACGGCCCTGCCACCTGGAGTGACATGAGACCTGGCGCCTTTCACGGACATTCCTGCTGGCTGGTGCCCAGAGCGTGTGTTCAGGACGCTGCTGGTTCTCTGCATTTCATCTCTGTAAATATATACATATACATATATATATACATATACATATATATATAATACATATACATACATATACATACATATACATACATATATATAATATATACATATACATATATATATGTATATATATGTATAAATATATATTCATTGGAAAGGCAGATTTACAGAGGAGGGAGATATTTTTCCATCCACAGGTTCACTCCCCAAGTGGCCACATAGGCTGGCTGGAGCTGAGCTGATCTGAAGCTGGGTGCTTGTTCCGGGTCTCCCACAAGGTCCGAAGGCTTTGGGCCGTCCTCTGCTGCTTTCCCAGGCCACAGACAGGGAGCTGGATGGGAAGTGGAGCAGCTGGGATGTGACCCAGCACTCATGGGATGCTGGCACTGCAGGTGGAGGGTTAGCCTACTACAGCACAACGCCAGCCTCATTCCAAGACGATTTTTATAGCTACAGTGAATGGTGCTGTCTGTTGCGATTTTGTTTGTTTGATTCATTTTTGTGTGTGCTACACTGCAGCAGTCTCTGCAGGAGCCTCTTGGCGCCCCTGTTCGTAGGATCACACCATGTATGGTTGGGGTCACTTGGCTTCCCCATTTCCAACGCACGTCGCTTCCGTTTCTTCCCCCTTCCCGACGGCTTGGTGGTGGAATGCCGCAGGGAGCAGTTAGATGCCTTTGGTTAGCAGGGCCAGTTGGCTTCATTTCTTGACTTTGTGGCTGGTTGATCTGACGCCTGTGACAGTGGGGGTGTTGAAGTCACCAATGGTTGTCCTGTGTCTCCGGCTAGATCCATTAACATTGGCCTGAAATAGCCAGGAACCACCTTATCGGGAGCTCGGCTTCTAGCCGTCCCAACCAATCTCCCAAGCACGCGTCATCCCTTCCGTGTCTCTTGACGCTCGTCTTGAAGCCAGCGTTGCCCGCTCTTGTGGCTCCTTCGCATTCTGAATTGCCATTCGCTTGGAAGAGCGTTTTGCCCTCCCTTCGTGCTCAGCCTGCGTGTATCTGTCTTGAAGTGTGTTTTGTGCGGACAGCAAATATGTTCGTCTTGTGTCTTGATCTGTTGTCTATCTCCTGAGGGAAGAATCCGGAAGAATCTCTCTTCCATCGCGTTGGTTCTGTCTCTGTGGGCCAGCTGGGCGGTGACCCAGTCTTTCCACTTTGCTGTGTTCTGGAGGGGCTGTAATTCACCGTCATGGATCCTCTCGGCCTCCATCGTGCGGTCCAGCCAGGCCAGGGCCTGCTCTCGGAGGCCCACGTCTCACGGCATGCTGGTTGGAGTTCTGCAGGGTGTCGGGAGGCCCAACGTCAGGACTCCCCTCTTGAGAGAGGACGGAGAGCGAGCACGGAGCACACGGGGAGGCATGCTCTCGGTTCCCCTTCCCACCCTTCTCCCACCTCATTGTGCCCCGGCGCTCTGCTTGGTGTCCGGCTTGGCAGCCTCATGCTGTGTTGCTCACACTGTCCACGTGTGGGCTGGGTGGGCTGGGTGGGCTTCCCGGGATGCGGACGGAACCTGAACTGCCGGATACGAATGGCATGGACTCAAGCTGGTCTCCCCGTTCCTCCCCAGGGCTCACCGACTCCGTGTGTTTGCTGCGAGAGCTGCAGGCTTGCGTCCCGGGACGAGATGGCCGAGTCGTACTTCTCTGACTTTGGCTTGTTGTGGTACCTGGAGGAGCTCAGGCGGGAGGAGTTCTGGAAGTTCAAGGAGCACCTCAGGCAAGAGCCTCTCAAGTTTGACCTCAAGCCGATCCCCTGGGCGGAGCTCAAGCGGGCGTCCAAGGGCGAGCTGGCCAGCCTGCTGGAGAAGCACTACCCGGGCACGCAGGCCTGGGAGCTGACGCTGGGCCTGTTCCTGCAGCTCAACCGCAAGGATCTCTGGACAAAGGCGAAGGAAGAGATGAGGAGTGAGTGTGGGGGGCTGGGTCACTGCTGGCCTCCGTCACGCAGGTGGCAGGTTGGTGGAGTTGGTGGCCGTCTCCATCGGCCGAGCCTGGACAGAGCTCAGTGTGAGCCTGGTGGGCAGCGGAGGAGTTGGAAGCAGCGTGGTCAGCGTGCTGCTCTCTTGGGCGTTTGTCTCCCATGCCCTGCCCTGTGCTGAGCTTCTGTGTCGGCCGAGGCGGCGTTCACTGTGGTGGCTGGCCTTCCCTTGGACCAGACACACACAAGAAGGGCCAGCGCAGGAGCCTGACACGGAGATGCTGATGGCCCGTCTGCCCGGGAGCTTGTTGGTCTTGGGGGCACCTGCTGCGTGCAGGTGCTTCCCGGGCTGTGAGGGCCTCAGTCTGTCACAGCGCTTCCCCTGGGGTGCTGCCGGCTTGAAGGCAGAGCAAGCTCCTTCCCGGGACTGTCCCGTACATGGGCGTAGGTCAGGTTGTCATGACGGAGAGGGGGTGCCTCTGCCTCATGTGGGGTAGAAGATAGAGGCGCTTCTCTCCAGCTAGGACAAGCCCCCAGAACGAGGGATGTTCCTACGCCATGCGTCAGCAGCGTCTTGGTTCAGGCCCATGGCTGTATGTCACAAAAGGTGTGCAGACCCTTGCAGCAGACGGGGCTAACTCAGTCACTCTGGGAGAATCCCCTGTGTGCCATGGGGAAGTGCCAGGGCAATTCTGGGATGGAGCACGTTGGCCAGACACGCCGCTGACACACACACACACACGTGCAAACAGTGCAGTGACCTCGCTGGGCCACGTGGTGACCAGAACCGGCTCTGTGAAACCAGGGGTTCCTGGGCCTGCCCACGCCAGGGTGGCATGCTCGGGCAGCCCTCGGGAGCCCGGCTCACACAACTTAGGGCCTTGGCCAGGCAACCGTACCCGTGTCTGCTGGCTGATCTCGACATAACGTGACAGGTGGACAGCTGGCATTCAGCTGGTGTTTGGCTGTCCGCTCGCCACACCCGGAACGGGTGGAGCGTTCCAGAACAGGCCGGCCACTGGTTGAGTCTGTTCCTCGGTGTCCCTCAGGCTGGGGTTGTGGGAGCGGCCTCCTGCCAAGGGGAAGCCTCCCGGAGGGCAGTGAGGAAGCGCGAGGGCTTGGTGGGCAGCGTCCTCGCGCGCCCTGGGGTGCTGGCGGAGAGACGGGCGTGGCAAGCAGACGGTGAGCCGTGCGCTGTCACCGTGCTGTTCGCGGGGAAGGCGGCGGTGCTCGGCTCAGCGCCTTTTGCATAAGAAAAATCTTTGCTATCTGTCCTTATTCGGCTTCCAAGGCTTAGAACCAGCCTTGACTGCTTTCCCAAGCTGCAAGCAGGGAGCTGGATGGCAAGTGGAGCAGTCAGGATGAGAACCAGAGCCCGTATGGGATCCTGGCACCTGCAAGGCGAGGACTTGAACCACTAGGCTATCATGCCAGGCCCAGAAACACCATAGTTTTAGGTGTACTTTTAGGATAGCAAAGGGTAAAGTTTGCAAACTTGAAAATTATTTTTTTAAAAGAGTCATATATATTTTTATTGGAAAGGCAAATTTATAGAAAACAGGGAGAGAGATCTTCCACCCACTGGTTCACTCACCAAATTGCCACAGTGGCTGGAGCTGAGCTGATCTGGATCCAGGAGCCAGGAGCTTCTGGGTTTCCCGCGTGGGGGCAGGGTCTCAAGGCTTTGAGCTGTCCTCTATTGCCTTCCCAGGCCACAGGCAGGGAGCTGGATGGGAAATGGAGCAGCTGGGATAGGAACTGGCACCCGTATTAGATCCTGGTGGTTGTGAGGATTTAGCCACTAGGCTACTGTGCTGGGCCCCAGAATTCTGTATATAGTTAAATTTTTTAATTTCTACTAGAGCTGCCTTTTTGGAAACACTTCTTTTTGGTGCTTCCCTGTCACGGCCAGTTCTGTGCATCACCTAAGACAAAGCCAGAGCGCTTGACCTGCGTCAGTCAACTTCTGCTGAGTCCCACCCCGATGTTCGTCCACCAGAGCTGGCTCGGGACGAAGCCGGGAGCCCCACCTGGGTCTCCCACATGAGCGGCAGGAATTGCAGGAGCTTCCGAAGGGTGTTTTCAGGAATCCAGGCTGGGAGCAGAGGGGTCAGACTCCCAGCGGGCCCCGCGGCCTTGCCTGAGCCCCGCTCCCCTCCCGCTCCCCGCCACGCATGCTCACTTGACATCTCCGAGCAGCTGGCTGACGGCTCCTCACCCGCCTTGCCGTGTCTGAGGGCGGGGCTGTGCTGATGCAGTTACTTCTGAAGTAAATCATGTGTGCCTGGAGGTTCATTCAACCATGCTTTGCTTTTCTCCTTCATTCTTCCTGCTCCCCGCCCCCCGTAAAGATCCACTTGTTTGAAGGAGTTGCTAAGAAGGCGAGAGGCGACAGAAGTGGAGACGCGAGCGCTCATCTGTGCGGGTCACTCCCGGGAGGGTGGCAGTGGCCAGGGCCGGGATCCAGAAGCTTCCCCCAGGTCTCCCACGGGGCGGGCTCAGTTCCAGACACGGGATCTTCTGCCTGTCCCAGGCCGCAGGCGGGAGCTGGGCTGGAAGTGGAGCAGCCGGGACTCGAACCAGTGCCCTTGTGTGATGTTAATGCCGGTGGTCGAATGCCACCATACTACCCTCCTTTCCTTCCTAAACCCCTAAGCGTCCTTGGCCCTTTATTCTAAGTCGGACAGTTTTACCAGGTGAAAGTCAGTTATTACAGTTCAGCTTTCCCTGTGGGCTACGCTGATGTGCAGCTAAATCTTTGCTTCTAGAATATTCTCTCCTAGTGGCCCGATCGGCCTTTGTTCCATTGTTTTGGCTTTTCTGCTCCGAGGACACATCGCGCAGGGAGCGGGGGCAGGCTGGACCTTCGCGGTCTCCGCCGTTTGAACCCGCGATCCTTTGCCCCGCTTGGCGTCTCGCTGCTTTCCTGTCGGCCTAGTGCTGTCCCCCGGGTCCCTGCCCTTCCCTTTGGTCTGTCCCTGTCAGGCGCCTCGTCATCCAGTGCTGGCACTCGTGTTTTTCTTTCCTACATCTGTGCACTCTGTCCTTGGAGATGGTTCAGATTCGGGTTATCTCCTGTCCCAAGTGTATGCCCGGGGCTCTGATACCCCTGGCAGTGTTGGGCCCCGCCTTGCTGTGGCTTTGGGGTGACTGGCAGACTCGATCGGCAGAAAAGCTGGTAATTAGGAGTGGGTCCCTGGAGACATAATGGTTTTTTAATTTATTTTTTTTTTATTGGAAAGTCAGATATACAAAGAGGAGGAGAGACAGTGAGGAAGATCTTTTGTCTGATGATTCACTCCCCAAGTGACTGCAACAGCCGGAGCTGTGCTGATCCGAAGCCAGGAGCCAGGAACTTCCTCAAGGCCTCCCACATGGGTGCAGGGGCCCAAGGCTTTGGGCCGTCCTCGACTGCTTTCCCAGGCCACAAACAGGGAGCTGCATGGGCAGTGGGGCTGCTGGGACATGAACTGGCTCCCATATGGGATCCCGGTGTGTGTGTGAGGCGAGGACTTTAGCAGCTAGGCTACTGCACCAGGCCCAAGGCATACTGATTAATTGTTGCATTTACTCTGAGACATCATGTTTAAATTCATGTAAGTTGACAACTTGAGGGGTTGGCAGCTGGTTGAGAGACACACACAGGGCGGTGTCACTGTCAGACCCGAGCTGCTGCGGCCCCGCGTTGGCCCCTTTGGGTATTTGTAAGAAGCAGGGAGAACCAAGGGAGTGGATCCTCATCTCTCCTCTCCTTCACTCAGGTAAACTCAACCCGTACAGAAATCACATGAGGGACAAGTTCCAGCTCGTGTGGGAGAAGGAGAGCCGTCTTCCGGTGCCCGAGAGCTTCTACAGAGAGACGGTGAGCAGCGAGTGGGTCAGCGTGCAGGCGCTGTACGCAGAGGGCGAGCCGCACACGACCGTGCTGCACGGGCCCGAAGGCCGCGGCAAGACCAGCTTCCTGAGGAGGGTGATGCTGGAGTGGGCGCTCGGCAACTTCCTGAGGGACAGGTTCACCTACGTCTTCTTCCTCGACGTCCTGGAGCTGAACGGCCTGCAGGAGACCAGCCTGGAGGAGCTGCTCTCTGCAGACTGGCCCGCGGCCGCCGGGGCCCTGGGAGACGTCCTCTCGGAGCCAGGCCGAGTCCTCTTCCTGCTGGATGGCTTCGACGAGCTCAAGTTCGACCTGGAGCTCAAGGCTGACCTGTGCGGCGACTGGCGGCAGCGGCGGCCCCCGGCCGTGGTCCTCAGCAGCCTGCTGCAGAAGGCCATGCTTCCGGAGTGCTCGCTGCTGCTGGCCCTGGGCACCGTGGGCGTCCGCAGGTACTACCCCCTGCTGCACTCGCCCAGGCACATGCTGCTCCCGGGCTTCAGCGAGCAGCACAGGAAGCAGTACATCTGCCACTTCTTCCCCGAGAGGGACGACGCCCTCCGCGTCGCCAGCTTCCTGAGGGACATCCCCTCGCTCTTCGCCATGTGTGAAAGCCCCCTGGTGTGCTGGCTGGTCTGCACTTGCCTCGCGTGGCAGCTGGAGCGCGGCGAGAGCCTGCACGTGGGCACCAGCAACACCACCTCCCTGCAGCTCTTCTTCCTGATCAGCGCCCTGCAGGTCGGGAGCCGGGCTGGCCCTCCGCTGCCCGCGCCGGCCCGCAAGCGCCTGCAGAGCCTGTGTCGCCTGGCCGCCGAGGCCACGTGGACCCAGACGCCCGTGTTCCGCCGGGAGGACCTCCAGAGGCACGGGATGGCGGAGCCTGACATCAGGGCGTGGGTGGACACCCACTGCCTGCGGCCCAGCGGGGACGCCTATATCTTCAGCCACGTGTCCCTCCGGGAGTTCTGTGCCGCCCTGTTCTATCTGCTGCAGCAGCCCGACGACCCTCCGCAGCCGGGCGTGGGGGGCGTGTCCCAGGTGATCCCCGCCAGCCTGAGTTTCGACCACAGCCACCTGGCCCGGCTCGGGGTGTTTCTGTTCGGCGTCTGCAGCAGGAGGGTCTCCCAGGTGCTGGAGACCTACTTTGGGGTGCTGCCGACCAGCGAGCTGAAGGCACAGATCCTGGGGTGCGTCCGGAGCATGAGCCAGGGCAAGCCCGAATCTGCCGTATGTTTCCAGAAGCTGTTCCACGGCTTGTTTGAGATACATGAGAGGGAATTTGCTACGCAAGTGATGGACCTTTTCGAAGAGGTTATGACTTACATGGACAGCGTGGAGCAGCTGGTGCTGACCACGTACTCCCTCAAGAACTGCCGCAACGTCCAGCAGCTGCACGTGTGTGTGGAGAACATCTTCGATGCCGCACCTGCCGAGTGAGTCCGCCCTTGCCGCCTGTGGGTGCCTGTCCCGCACCGGGCCTCTTGAAGCCAGCGCCTGGGTTCCGTGCGTCGGCGCCATGCCCCTGGCTGTGCTGGCGTGGAGCCTCTGGCTGGTCCGGGTGGCTAGCCGGTACTTGCGCTCTTGGTCGTGTAGCAGCTTTTACGATGCTGAGGTGCAGTTCCCTGGTCACTGAAGGCTCCCAATTAGCAGCCCTTGCTAACTAACCTGAAGGTCAAATAGTGTCAGTGGGGGCAGGACAAGGAAGGTTGAAGTGCTCCCCAGGGGTCACAGGGCTGGGGGGTGTCTCGGGGCTCCCTGGGGACTACCCTGGGGTCACCGGGCTCGCCTGGGGTCATGGGGCTGGTAAACGGCTCATCCAGGGTTGTTCCTCTGGCCTTTGAGCTGTTCTGCCACCATGCTGGGTGCCCCGAGTTCACCTGCTGGCCTCCCCGCACCACGTCCACCTGGGTGTCGGTCCTTTCTGGGAGGCTGGGGCTCACCCGCCTGTTCCGGGAACGTCCCGGGTGGGATGCAGCCCCCGAAAGTCGCTGTTTTTCTCAGGGGCAGCGAGGAGCTGAGCTGCTGGAAGGAGTTCTGCTCCGTGCTGGGCACCAGGACGAGCCTGCAGGTGCTGGACCTGGACAACTGTAAGCTGAACGAGGCTTGCCTGAGCGTGCTCTGGAACGCGCTGGCGCAGCCCACCTGCACGCCCCACAGCTTGGCGTGAGTTCCGCCCCGCGTCCCTTGCGTGTTTTCTGGACTCGGTTCGGTCGCGTCTGTTTCCGACTCACCCAGTGCAGCGCGATCCTCACCCCGCCTTCGTCTTTCTTCAGAAGCACAGGAGCACACGGGCCATTGTGAATCCAAGTCACGCCTTCCGTCTTACCACTCTCTCAGAATGATTTATTTTTGTTGGAAAAGCAGATCAGATTTAGAGAGGAGACACAAAGAGAAAGATCTTCTGTTCCCTGGTTCACTCCCCAAGCGGCCGCAATGGCCACGGCTGAGCAGATCTGAGGCCGGGCCAGATCTCCCAGGTCCCAAGGCTTTGGGCCGTCCTCCGCTGCTTTCCCAGGCCACAGGCAGGGACCTGGATTTGGGAATCAGGGCAGCCGGGACTCGAACCCTGTAGGCTCCCGGTGTTCGGAAGGCGAAGGTTTAGCCATTGCACCAGGCCCCATCTTAGCACTTTCCAGTTAAATTTGTTTCCCTTCCCTTCAAATGTCACTATTTCATGGAAATATTCCTGTGTTTCTCAAGCTGCCTTTTACCATTGATTTTCCGTTACGGATAGTGCTGGCCAATATGTTTGTAGACAAACAGCTGGCATGGCAAGCTTGGGATTCCTGCGCCCGGAAAGGCTTGCGTGCGGGGGTGGCCCTGGAATGGTGGGTAAGAAGGTGGGCTTGGGGAGAGTCCTGCCACCCTCGCCACAAGCACAGCATGGCCTTGGCCTCCCGACCTGATGCTGTGTCCTTTTCGCAGGTGTAATTTTTTGTCACACTTTGGAAATGGCGTGACCTTCTGGGACGCGGTTCTTGGGCGGCCTCACCTGAGATACTTGAACTTGTACCACACCACCATCGCCCCGTTCGGGGTCACGTACATGTGTGAGATGCTGAAGCAGCGGGAGTGCCACGTGGACGTGCTGATGTAAGTCCCCGGGCCGTGCCGAGTGGCTGGTGCTGCTGCGGTGTGGAGTGCCCGTTTCCTGGGAGTCCTTGACACACCTTCACTGTCTCGTCCATCTCGGCCTCTGCAGAACCTGGGAAGGCAGGGGGCGTTCACCAGGACCCGTGGAGGGGTCGGTGGTGGGCATTTATAGTGTGCAGTCCTGCTGCTCGGGGTGGGTTTTGGTTGGGTGTTGGGGGTGATGAGAGCAGGCTGGGTTTCCTGTAGCTCCGTGGTTCTCCCCACATTGGGCACCGTGCCATGGGTGCGATGTTGGTGTCTGGTGATGACTGGGTGGTCGTGGCTGTGTGGAGAAGCTCTGCCAGGTGCAGCAGGCAGTGCCCCGCGGGCTGCAAGGCATCCTGTGACGCACAGGTGGGTCCCGCCACGGAGAGGGACCAGCCCCAGGAAGTGCTCCGTCCCCGTGCGGCTGCTGCTTTGTGCAGGTAGCATGGCACGGGGCTGCTGGCTGACACGTGGAGCCCCCGCTGTGGTGGGTCAGCTGCTGAGGTGCAGGACCCTCCGGAGGCACGGGCAGCGACCCCGGGGGAGACTGGCTTGTGCCTGGACTTGCGGGCTGGGCATAGGAGCTGCAGTTGGCACTGGGGCGGGCTAGCCATGCAGAAGGGGCTTGTGGGAGCGGTGACCATCGGCAGCTGTTTCCACAGTGCCAGGACTCCTGTCTGCAGGCTGTGCAGGCTGGCACACACGTGTCCCAGGGCTATGACACTAGGTGCGTGTCATCTGTTAATACAGGGACAGATCAGACTCCTGACAGACATCCCTGGGGTGAGGGGAGCCTGCCCAGCAGTGGGCTTTGCAAGCCTGTCCCTGAGTCCTGTGGTCTGCCGGCCCTGTTGAGGGGAGAGTGCTGAAGATGGGCACTGCCAGCATGCGTGCCAGGTTCGGTCACGCAGGTGCCTGAAGTCCAGGGAGCTCACAGAATCTGATTCGGTGTCCGCCCCACCTGCGTGGCGTGGGAGGTGTCGTCACCCAGCTGTGCTGCTCAGGGCTGGGGAAGGGTGACGGGACAGCTCTTTGCGTACTGGCCTGGTCCCCTAACCAGTGTGTCACGCGTAGCTGTTGTAACGAAAATGCTGACACTCCTGCTATTGTCACGTCTCTTCTTCCTCGCGTGGCTCATGTCACAGTGCAGTGGATTGTGGAGTAACTCACTCTTGCTCATCCTCATGCTACTTTTTAAATTTAATTTTTATTGCAAAGTCAGATATACACAGAGGAGAGACAGAGAGGAAGATCTTCCGTCCAATGATTCACTCCCCAAGTGACCACAATGACCGGTGCTGTGCCGATCTGAAGCCAGGAGCCAGGAACTTCCTCCAGCTCTCCCACGTGGGTGCAGGGTCCCAAGGCTTTTAGCCGTCCTCGACTGCTTTCCCAGGCCACAGTCAGGGAGCTGGATGGGAAGTGGAGCAGCCGGGATTAGAACCAGTGGCCATATGGGATCCTGGCGTGTTCAGGGCGAGGACTTTAGCCGCTAGGCCACCAGGCCCCGTGCTGCGTTATGATTGTGTAATGGTCATGTTCTCACTGTCTTCCCAGTGAACCTGTTCACACTGTGCTGTGGTTACACATGTGTTCTCATGGTCCTGTCCGTCCCATGCCCCCGTTCTCACTGTCCTGTCCCATGCCCCGTTCACTGTCCTGTCCGTCCCATGCCCCCGTTCACTGTCCTGTCCCATGCCCCGTTCACTGTCCTGTCCCATGCCCCGTTCACTGTCCTGTCCCATGCCCCCGTTCTCACGGTCCTGTCCCATGGCCTGTCCTGAATGCACTGTCTGTCCTGTGGCCTGTTCTCATGGTCCTGTCCCATGCCCCCATTCTCACTGTCCTGTCCCATGCCCCGTTCACTGTCCTGTCCGTCCCATGCCCCGTTCTCTCTGTCCTGTCTGTCCCATGTCCCCGTTCACTGTCCTGTCCGCCCCATGTCCCCGTTATCTGTCCTGTCCGCCCCATGTCCCCATTCTCTGTCCTGTCCGCCCCATGTCCCCGTTATCTGTCCTGTCCGTCCCATGCCCCGTTCTCACTGTCCCGCCTGCCTCCTGCAGTGTGCCGTCTCACCGGGCATCTGTGGTCCTGTGATTTGGTCGTCGTATTAAGTGAGTGCGCCTGGAGTGTGACTCCGCACAACCACCCCTCCCACCCCCTCCTCTCCCTCGCTCCACACTTCCCTGCTTCTTTCCTGATTTTAGAAATGCAAATTTTCGAGCCTAGCCACATAGCCTATTCATAAATCAGCCTTGCATGCTCCGGGATCCCGTATGGCGCTGGCTCATGTCCCAGCTGCTCCACTTCCCGTCCAGCTCCCTGCTTTGGCCTGGGAAGCAGTAGAGGACGGCACAAAGCCTTGGGACCCTGCACCTGCGTGGGAGACCCAGAAGAGGCTCCCTGCTTCGGACTGGCTCAGCTCTGGCTGTTGGAGCCATTTGGGGAGTGAACCATCGGACGGAGAAGCTCTTTCTCTGTGCCTCCTTCTTGCAATAAAATCTTTCAAATAAAAAAAAAATCTAAAAATAAATGCATCTTTACCTTTCACTTTGGCACCATAAGCCCAACACTGCAATACTTAGAGCGGTCGGCACGTGGACAGTGAACCCCCCAGCCTTCCGGGGTTCCGGCAAGGGCTGCAGAGAGCAGTTACGCCCCGGGACGCTGTTCCGGCTCACCCAGACGGCACTTGGGTTCTCTGGGTTGGGTGTCACAGATCAGGGCGAACATTCCCAGCCTGTTTCGCTCTGCACAACGCCTTCTGCTCGCATCGGCTTAGCTGTGAAAGGCACGTTTCACTCCGTGCTGTGGCTGAGTGCATATACGCCGTGTTCGCCCACTCGATGTTGACGCTCAGCCACTGTAGGTCCTAGTGTCAACTCAGCTGCTACGAACGTGGGCACGGATGGCTCTCCTATGCTGGTTCATCTTGGGGGAAATTCCCCTTGGGACCTGCTCCGGGTGGCTGCGGGTTCCCGCACTGCCCGGGATGGTGGTTGCCACTGCCTCACGGTCCTGCCAGCCTGGGCCCACACGGTCCTGCCAGGCTGGGCCCACACGGTCCTGCCAGGCTGGGCCCTCACGGTCCTGCCAGCCTGGGCCCACACGGTCCTGCCAGCCTGGGCCCTCACGGCCCTGCCAGCCTGGGCCCACACGGTCCTGCCAGCCTGGGCCCTCACGGTCCTGCCAGCCTGGGCCCTCACGGCCCTGCCAGCCTGGGCCCTCACGGCCCTGCCAGCCTGGGCCCAGGGCACCTCTGCTCACAGCCTCACCAGCATTAGCCCCCTGATTTCTGTATGGAGGCCAGTCCCGCTGGGGAGAGGTGAACCCTCTTTATTTTCATTTGCATTTCCCTTGTGAGCCTGCTGACTTTTATTTGAAAGTCAGAATTGAGGAGCGAAGGACAGACAGATCTTCCATCCTCTGGTTTACTCCTCGAGTGGCCACACTGGCCAGAGCTGAGCTGATCCGAAGCTAGGAGCTCTTCTGGGTCTCCCATGCGGGTGCAGGGTCCCAAGGCTTTGGGCCGTCCTCGACTGCTTTCCCAGGTCACAGGCAGGGAGCTGGATGGGAAGCAGGGCCGCTGGGATTAGAACCAGCAACCACAAGGGATCCCGGCGCATACAAGGTGAGGACTTTAACCACTAGGCTAGTGCGCCAGGCCCAGGGTTGGCTTTTACAAGTGCACTGGAATATCGGGCGATGCTTCCTGCAGCAGACAACGGCGCTGTGTGTGCCCAGCCCTGTCTCACTGCCCTGTGGGCTTTGCCTCTCAGCTCGGACACTGGTGTCACGTTCCAGGGCAACACGCTGCCTTGCTCCCAGTGTGGTCTGTCCAGTGATGGCTGTAGAAGTGCCTTGGCTCTGAGCTCTGGGCTCACTTCCTGGGTCACGCGTCATCCTTGCGTGGGGCCCAGTGGGCTCTCATCACTCTGGCCTCAGTGTGGGCTGCTGAAGCGAGCATGGCCTCTTGCGTGAGAATGGAGAGCTCTGGGTTTGCGGGGGCCCGTGGAGCAGCAGTCCGGGCCTTTGTGCACCAGACGCTAATAGCAGGCCTTGTGTCATGACAGCCACAGACCCCTTGGGACACGCGGAGGGTCCCTCCAGGGCCTGGTCACCCCGGCGGAATCACGGTCTCGGACAGAGTCCTCACTGGGCGGGAAGCTATGGGCAGGGCAAGAGTGGGGTGATTTTGTGCTTTGGAGTGGGTGCAATGAGAAGCACGGCTCCTGTTGGGGCCCCTGCCCCACTCACATAGCCCCTTAGCACATCCTATTACCTGTGTCTCCCCCAGACTGACCAAATGTGACATCAAAAGTGACAAATGTCAACATCTCAGCGAAGTCCTGACCTGCAACAACAGGCTCAAGTGCCTCTCCCTGGGGGAGAACCCGCTCAATAACGAAGGGGTCATGGAGCTGTGCGAGGGTCTGAAGCACCCTCAGTGCGTGCTGCGTACGCTGGTGTGAGTGGGGCTGGGGAGCGGGGCTGGGCTGTGAGTCGGGCTGGGCTGTGAGTCGGGCTGGGGAGTGGGGTGGTGTGAGTCCGGCTGGGCTGTGAGTCGGGCTAGGGAGCGGGGCTGGGGTGTGAGTGGGGCTGGGGTGTGAGTTGGGCTGGGGAGTTGGGCTGGGGGTCATGCTAGGGCACAGCTCAGCAGTCTACCCTGCATTAGACGAATGCTCGCGGGTACTGCTCACGAGTCTGAGCCTAGTGGCTCCCCAGCCAAGGCTGGGGCTCTCCGGGACTAGGACCATGCATGGCTTAGTGGCTCAGCAGCCGGGGCTGTGGCTCTCTGAGGCTGTGGCCACTCACAGCTTAGTGGCTCAGCAGCCAAAGTTGGGGCTCTCTGGGGCTGGGGCTCAGCAGCCGGGGCTGGGGCTCAGCAGCTGAGGCGTGTCTTTGCAGGTTAAACTTCTGCTGCATCACAGCTGTCTCCTGTGAGTACATCGCCCAAGCCCTTCTGTGCAACAAAACCTTGTCCCTGCTGGACCTAGGCTCCAACATGCTGGAGGACAAGGGGGTGGCGATCCTCTGTGAGGCCCTGAAGCACCCGGACTGCACCCTGCAGGAGCTGTGGTAAGTCTGGCCTGGTATGTCTGTGTGCGTGTGTCAGCCACCAGTCCACAGCCATCCTGTCCCAGCCACTGGGCAGCGGGCCCCGTGTGGTTCTGGTGGGGCACTGCCTCAGGTCTCCACTTGAAGGGTTGGCCAGCATGCACCCATGGTCTCAGGCCCACGCTGGAGTCCCAAACACCAGGCCCAGGTGACCCACTTGGGCACAGTATAGGTGAGGCCAGCTGTCGTCCTGCCCTAGGGGGTCAGGAGGAGTGGCTGGAGTGACACCTGGGGGAGTGCTCGGCAGGGATGGGCCCTACTGTGTGTTCCGTTAATGTCCTTTACTGCCGGCTTCCTCTGGGGCCTGGACACACTTCAGTCGGACAAGTGAAACGGGCCATCCCCTTGGGCTTCTGTCTTGTCTCCCACACGTGCTTATGGGGCCGAGGAGTGTGCCTGTGCAGGCACCCCTGGCTCTGCCCTCTTGGCATTCTGGCCCTCTTTGCTGCGAGCTGTCAGCTAGCCCCCTGGACTCCTCTTGCTGCTGGCGCACACTTCCCACCTCACTCTACTTGCAGTGAGGATGGGCTGGAGATTGTGGGGATTAGGATCTGCGGGTCAGACAACCCTGAGCCTGCAGTCAGGGCGTCAGGCGCCCCGCTGGGAGCCGGGTGGGCAGGTGGGAGCAGCAGGCCGGGGTGCAGGGGCCCTGTGGGCCTCAGTGACGAGAGGACAAGCAAGCCACAGAGGTGAGACCTCCCTGAGCCTGTACGCAATACAGAGAACAAAACCACACCGCACACTGGGCACAGTGCACGAGGCTGTCCTGGCCAGGGCCTCGCTGCTGCAGGGAGAGCGGCATGAATGAGGGCGGGAGAGTCAGCTCAGGCACAGGGTTTTATTCATGGTGGGAGGGGGGGAGGAAGGATAATCCAAGGACTGGGATTGCCCGCTGGTGGGGGACAGCACAGGATCCCTCCCTGCGACCCCCCAAGTATACAGCCCCGGCCCTGGACGCCTTGGCCGTCCGGTGGAAGGTAGCCGCTGCTCAGCTGGGGCCTGCTGCTGACCTGTGGGGCGCACGGCCTGATGGGCTGAGCCGAGGCCTGGGGGCTCCTGCAGGGCACCGCAGACAGGCCTGAGACCAGCCTCCCGCCCTGTGCCCCTCCCAGGCTGGCAGGCTGCTACCTCACCCCGGCCTGCTGCGAGGACATCGCTGCGGCTCTCCTCTGCAACACAAACCTCAACACGCTGAAGCTTGGAAAGAACAGCATCCAGGACAACGGGGTCCAGCGCCTGTGCCAAGCGCTGAGGCACCAAAGCTGCCAGCTGCAGCACCTCAGGTGTGTGTGCTGGCCTGGGCGGGCGCAAAGCCAGCAAGCGGGGTGTCAGCAGCACCCCAAGGGCCCCGGCGTCCCGGGGCTGTGGGCGCCAGCTGGCTTGCCTCGGGAGGCTGCGTCCCGGGCTGCCTGAGCGCACAGGCCACGAGCATGTTGGAGAGCTGCTGGCGGGGCCCACGGGGGACACGGCACGCTGTGTCTTTCAGCCTGGAGCTGTGTCAGCTCACCGGTGCCTGCATGGAAGACCTGGCCCCGGTGCTCACGAGCTGCAAGACGCTGCAGAGCCTGAACCTGGATGGGATCGCGCTGGACTGTGATGGGGCGGAGCTGCTGTGTGAGGCCTTGGCCCACCCCGACTGTGGGCTGAAGATGCTCGGGTGAGTGGACGCCGCGTCCACGGGGCTGGTGATGGACTTCAGTGACATCCAGTTACCGCAGCTCAGCTCCGTGGGGCTGCAGGCACAGGGGAGGCGGCTTTGGGCACGGCCCGTGAGGATGGCAGTGGCTGGACAGGCCTCCGCTGCCTCCTCAGCTCTCAGGCACCCGGGTAGCGATGCCACAAGGGAAGACCTTGCTTGCAGGGGTCGGGGAGGAGTCGGGGCGAGGCTGGAATCCGTTTCTCTCTCCCTGAGACCTGGGGGAGCTTCTAGAAGTCTCCTGGGTTAGACGCACCTAGATGAGAGGGTTGTCCGGTACAATTAACTACATTACTGGTTATCTAGAAATTAGCTTCATGCTATTCTGACAACTGTGGGACAATGATGAAGTGTTCCTGGGTAGAGCTGTGATGAGCGCAGACTTTGTAATTACCGATGTGGAGTTGCCGTGGACATGCTACAGTGCTACTTGAGCAGGCAGCATGTGATAAGGGCGAGTGGTCACAGAGTCACAGTGCTGCTGGAGGTGTCACGGAGAACTCTGCTGTCTGCGCTATGGGGGGGGATAGGCCTGGCCGGGAGAGGCGGGCCCAGCGGCATACGGGCCGAGAGAGGCAGGCCCAGCGCCTACGGGCCGAGAGAGGCAGGCCCAGCGCCTACGGGCCGAGAGAGGCAGGCCCAGCGCCTACATGATCTCTGTTGCCCCAGGCTGGACAAATGCGCCTACGGACAGGAGTTGGAGCTGCGGCTCTCGGCTGTGGAGGAGAAGCAGCCGCAGCTGACCATCCAGCACGAGCCCTGGCTGATGATAGAGAACCGGGTCAAGGGCCTGATGCTCTGAGTGACCGCCTGCCGCCGTCCCCTCGGCCAGGGCTCTGCATGCACCCCTGTCCGCCTTGCAATCCTGAGAAAATACACCGAGTGTGTGCCGCACCCTTGGGAAGGTGTGCTTTTCTTCTTCATGGGCTCCAGGGAGCAGGCTCTCCCGCAGGCACACACGTTCCCGCACCTCGGCCCCTTGGTAAATGCCCGTCCAGTCGTTTAAATTCCAAATTTTCCACAGGCACTGGTTTAATCTGGTGCTCCACTGTTCCCGTCGTGAAGGGGTGGACATTCCTAACAGGATTCCGCTTGCAGGATGTCATTTTAAATCCTCAGCAGATCGCAAACTCCAGTGCTAGGCTGTGAGCAAGCCTCCTCCCTAGGCTGTGGAAATGGGGGTGCCCGGTTCTCACCTCTGCCAGGGAGCAGACAGCGGAGAACTCTGAACCAGCACGGCGGCCAGGGAGCTGGCTCTGTCCTGGGCGGAGGCCTGAGGCCGGGGCGCGGTGGGGCACAGGCATTGGCAGCCTAGGAAGGGAACTGAGGCCCCAGCGAATACTGGGCAGCCTCCGAGCCTTCTGGGGCAGGCAGCCCAGGCCAGGCAGTGACCGCTGCACGAGCCCAGAGCCACGGGACCAGGAGGCGGCGGCTCCGGTGTGGCTGTGCTCCCGTGCTGAGAGTGGGGGCGTCCAGTGCACACCGTGGGCACTGCCACCATCCAGCCCTGGTGAGCCGCAGTTGCCGCTCTGGAACGCGGAAGCGGCAGCTGGTGCAGCAGAGGTGCCCGCCAGGCAGAGACCCGACTATCGGGCACAGCCAGGTCCTCGTGTGTGGGAAACCCAGGCACGGAGGCCGTGTCGTGGCCAGGCAGCGGGAGGCAGTTAATTCTATGGAAGGTGGTCTAACAGTTCTCAAGAGAGGCCGCACAGGCTCAGAATGTAAATATTTATTACCTGAACTCCCAGACACATCCCCTTCAGAAGGAAGGGGAACGGGCCAACATTGAGCCAGCCCCCCGAGAACGCCTGCCCTCCCGACGAACACCCTGCAAAGCTTAGCATCGGGGGGCTCTCACCTGCATGCCAATCCAGCTAGAGGGGGAAAGGCGAGCCCCCATAACTGCGCATTGCCTCCCAGGAACTTGGGGTTTCTACCCGCGGGGGGCAGGAGTAAGGCAGCTTTCATTTGTCAGAACTAGACAGGGGGAGCTCTGTACATGCAGAGAACATGGACTTAAAGTCTGCAAAAAGCAGCGGTGGCTGAAGGTCGTAGGTAGCAGGTGGTGCTGGGGCCTGAACTCCAGGAGCCCCTGGGCCAACACTGAGTCATCCCCCCTCCTGTTACCAGGGACAACAAGGTCAGCAGGTGGAGCTGGCTCTGAAGGGACTTGGTGAGCCGTGAAGCAGCAGGCCTCCCTACCTGGGATGCTCCAGGACTTACCACACGATGGGGCAACTCTGGGCCGAGTCCAGTGTGTTACCACTAAATGAACAACCTGATTGGGGCTGTTGCTGTTGGTACAGCAGGTTAAGCCTCCGCTGTAGTGCTGGCGTCCCCTATGGGCACTGGTTCGAGTCCTGGCTGCTCCACTTCCTCTTCAGCTCCCTGATATGTCTGGGAAAGCAGAAGAGGGGGGCCCAACGTGAGGCTCAGAAGAAGCTCCTGGCTTCAGACGGGCCCATAGCTCTGGCCACTGGGGGAGTGAAACAGACGGGAGCTCGCGCACTCTGCGTTTCAAATCCTTAAACATCGCAATTGAGAACACGTGTGCTCAATACTCAAAGCAGACCGACCTCTGGGGACACACAGGGTCCAACCGTCGGGAATTCTGTGTTCGCCAATAGAAGGATCTGGCATTTCTCTAACATTCCACCCCATGAGCGTCACAAGGACTTCCTTGCATGAGGTCTTGGTCTCCAGCAATTCAAACCCCCCCACAGCCCCTCGGCCTGATGCAGAGAACATCCTTCTGAATGAATAACGGGTCACCAGGGGAATCAAAGGGAGAGGAAGATCTTCCATCCACTGATTCACTCCCCACGTGGCCACAACGGCTGGAGCTGAGCCGATCTGAAGCCAGGAACTTCTTCCGGGTCTCCCACATGGGTACAGGGTCCCAAGGCTTCGGGCCGTCCTCGACTGCTTTCCCAGGACACAGGGAGCTGGATGGGAAGTGGGGCCACTGGGATTAAAACCCGTGCCCATATGGGATTCTGGCTTGTTCAAGGCGAGGACTTTAGCTGCTAGGGTACTGCACCGGGCCCAAGAGTTTTAAAAATTACAAAACCTACTGTGTACTGTGCATATAGTTACATTTTGCATACCCAGCTCAGGTGGTGCAGCAACAGCATTACGGAGCGAGCTTTGCAGCACTGTGCTCCTGGACTTGGGAACAGGAAGATGGTATGAAGCCTCGGTGTGCGCTCAGGGAGACAGGAGCTGAGCAGAGTCCTTACGCCGTTTCCGGGGGCTTGGGCCCCCACCGCCTTGCTGGAGCCCCGGGCTCCTGGCTTCGGCCAGGCCCAGTCCCTGCTATTTGGGGAAAGAACTCAGCAGGTGGACGGGCTGTCTTTCACATCTCAAAGTGGCTTGGGTGCAGAAATTGAAAGAGGAAGGTGCCCGGCTTCTCTGGACAACCACGTGGCCACGCAGGGTCCGTCCCCCTTGCGGCTCTGCTTGGGCTAGACTGCGAACTTGAAAGATCAGTGGTGAACCAGCCACGTCTCCTAACTGCCTCCTTTCCGAGCCTCGAATGCTCCATCCAACCCGTGACCTGCTCGTGGCAGGGACAGAGCGTGGCTGCCACGAAGGCGGCCTGGCGTCTCCTGCCCGAGGCGGCGCTGGCAACTGGCCGTGAGGTGGGGGTGGGCAGGGGTGAGGTGGGGTGGGCAGGGATGAGCTCAGGCAGGCAGGAGGTGGTGGTAGCTGGGCATCGTGTGCTGGGGGAGCCACAGGCGTGAGGCCGATGGAGCTTGGTGTGGGAGGGAGCTGGGGGTCTCTATTTGCTGCCTCCAAAGACAATTCAGGTGGTCACAGAAAATATTCTGAAATCCACACATAGTGTTTCCACCGCACTCATTTTCCATGAACACTTGAAAAAGACATTTTGTGGGGCCCGGCGGCGTGGCCTAGCGGCTAAAGTCCTTGCCTTGAACGCGCCAGGATCCCATATGGGCGCCAGTTCTAATCCCGGCAGCTCCCTGCCCATCCAGCTCCCTGCTGTGGCCTGGGAAAGCAGTTGAGGACGCCCCAAGCCTTGGGACCCCGACCCGTGTGACCTGGAAGAGGCTCCTGGCTGTGGATCGGCTCAGTTCAGCTCCATGCTGGCAGCCATTTGGGAAATGAGCCAGTGCAGGGAACATCTTTGTCTCTCCTCTTTGTCTTTCCAATAAAAAAATGTTTTTAAAAGAAATTGGACAGATAGATTATAGGATATTAAACTCACTTCTCTTCCCCCGCTGCCCAGGATTGTTGCACAGCTCTGGCTGCTGCCCCGGCAGGTCCTACAGAGGTGGAACCAAAGGTGTGTCTTTCCCGTGGACTCCGACGCGCAGGTCCTCCGTCGCAGCGCCTGGCTCCAGCGCCTGGCTCCAGCGTCCTGCCGAGGTGGGCTCTGCGAGGCAGCCGTGGATGCCCACATCCTCCAGTTCCTCCACTCACACGGAACCTCGGGCTGAGCTCCCAGCCCCCCGATCGGGCACGGAGGGCGCGGACTGGCCGGCGGGAACTGCCAGCAGCTGCCCCCCGACTCCCTCCCTCTCGGATAAATGCAAACTTTCGATAATAAATCTGATGAAACCAGTCAACGTGTCCCTTTTTCCACTTCTCTGAGAGGGTTCCCAGAAAAGAACAACTCGGGCCAGCACAGGGAGACGACCCGGTCTTACCGTGCTGACGGGCAAAAACGCGAGCTCCTTCCGTCAACAGCACCCCACGTGCAGGGCTGGTTCGGAGCTCCACTGCACGGCAGAGTTAAAGCGCAAAGCCGAGGGTGGGCCAGGCTGCCGGACGGCGGGAGCACGGTGCTTGGGCCGGCTGCCCAGCTCCGGTCCAGGAATCCTGCTGCTGTGCCTGGGTGGGTGGGGATGGCAGTCCTTCCAGTGGCTCTGCCACCGCGTGGGAGAGCTGGCTCGAGCTCCTCGCTCCTCGCTGGCCTCGGCCGCCGCACACTGCAGGAGAGCAAGCTAGTGCACAGCGGGGACAACTCCGGCTTTCACCAATAACTAACTAACCATTTTAGAGATAAGTTTACTTTGGTGAAATACTTGAAACCCATGCAGCTTTTGAAATCTATGCATTTTCATGAACTTTTCACTTTTTAAAAAAGTTGGTTTTGATATAGTTTACTTGGTGCAGGGGCTCCTTTCCCATCAACTATGTATCTGAAAGAGCTACAGAGGAGGGAGGGGCACGGACACGGCCCGTTTCGGATCACTTCCCTGGTGGCCCGGCTGGGTCAGGGCCGAGCCAGGGCCAAGCTGGCATCCAGGAGCTCCTTCCCCTGGGGCACACGCTCTGAGGGCCTGGGAAAGGGGGACGCTGGATTGGGAGTGGAGTTGCCATGTCGCCAACGGGCACACTGCATCACAGCCCGGGCTGCGCGGCTTCTAATCCGGGGCAGCTGCTGCCCCCTGCCAGGTGGCACAGGTGGCACAGGGCTCCTGCCTCACACGCGGGAGGCTCTGAAGGAACCAGAGCTCCTGCCTGCAGCTGCCAGGCCCCAGCGCTGGAGGTGTGAGCTTGCCTGCAGCTGCCAGGCCCCAGCGCTGGAGGTGTGAGCCATCTCTGTCTCCCTCATTCCATTTCAAGTGCATGAAACTAGACATTATTTGAAAGTGACAAGTTGAAAAACTGAAAATGAAAGACCCTTTGACCTTCAGGAAACACACCCCCCACCACACATCCACGGTCACACTCAAGGTTCACGTACCTGGAGCTGCCTGCTTGGAGGAGGGCCCCACGAGAGTTCAGTAGGAACTGCTGCCTGAGAAGGCCCTGGCCTCTCTCATCCAGCGGAGGGTCCGTGTGGTTTGGCCTCTCTCGTCCAGCGGAGGGCCCGTGCGGTTCTGGGCCTCTCTCGGCCAGCGGAGGGTCCGTGTGGTTCTGGGCCTCTCTCGGCCAGCGGAGGGCCCGTGCGGTTCTGGGCCTCTCTCGGCCAGCGGAGGGTCCGTGTGGTTTGGCCTCTCTCGGCCAGCGGAGGCCCGTGCGGTTCTGGGCCTTGGCTCCAGGAACCCACCGAGTTCTCAAGTGAAAGATCTCTGCTGGGTCTGGAAGAAAGATCAGCAATTCCGAAGGCTGTCAGCAAAGAACAGGTCTCCACGTAATCCTCCCCAGGGGGTGTTGTAGCCCTAGGTACCATTTTATTTCTTACGTAAAGATGTCCACCCACTGATAATTAGGGAAAGGAAGTGTGTCGCCCCGAAACCCACCCATGCACGCATGCACCCTGTCCCCCATAACCACACCCCTACTGCCACACGCACACACACCCCTCACTCGTATTACTCAACTGCAGAAAAGAATCCTGACATTGATAAGATGAACGCCAAGGCAGATGATCATGCTGAAAGTTTAAAGACCGAGAAAGACAGAGACCACATCTCGACTCACAGCCGAGGAGCGGGGCTGAAGTTCAGACTGCTTCAGCGAGTCACACCGACCAAATCACAACGTGCTGCTCTTCCGTTGAGCAATCACCCCTCAAAGAAAGAATAAATAATAAAGAATGAGTGCTGGGTTTCCCATTGGTTTGAGGAAAACGTCTCGGAACTCAGAGCGACGGCTGCACAGCCTTGGGAGTGCACTGAGCCTGGCGTTACGCTGTCACGTGATTACGATCATACATCCTGCTGTGTGTACTTTGCTACAATAAGAAAATCTAGGGCTGCTGCTAGTCCTCGCCTTGAATGCGCCGGGATCCCATATGGGCACCGGTTCTAATCCTGGCAGCTCCACTTCCCATCCAGCTCCCTGCTTGTGGCCTGGGAAAGCAGTCGAGGACGGCCTTGGGACCCTGCACCTGCAAGGGAGATCCAGAAGAAGCTGCTGGCTCCTGGTTTCAGATTGGCTCAGCTCCAGCTGTTGCAGTTGCTTGGGGAGTGAATCATTGGACAGAAGATCTTCCTCTCTGTATATCTGACTTTGCAATAAAAATAAACGAATCTTTAAAAAACTACCAGAAAGCTAAACCCATAGCTTGTACTAAGAGGTTATTCCTTTATGAGGAGGGAAAGTGCAGAGGAAGCGAGAAAGAGGGAGGGATAAATTCCGGGACCTGCAAAACTGTATTATGCAAACCAACAATACTTATTAGACAAGATCTTAAACCAACTGTTTTAAACATGCTTCAAGAGCGCTCTCTCTCTCTCTCTCTCTCTCTCTCTCTCTCACACACGCTGAGTGGAAGGAATCTGCATTGATAGGGACCAATGAAGAGACAGAGGAACCCAAAGAAAAAGCATGAACCAAAAAGTTCAATCACTAAAATCCAAAAAGGACTGTGAAGTTTCCACAGGGAAGGGGAAACAGCCAGTGACCTTAAGGACAGATCAACAGAAACCATCCTTCTAAGGGAGAGAAGGCAGCAGGCCTTCCTGGCCAGGGCCGCCAGCCAGCCGCCCGCGGTGCAGGGCGAGGCAGAGGCAAGGAGGGGATAGAAACGGCGCTGCAACGTGCTAACATCGGGGAAGTCGGGTGTGAGGTTTAGGGGAACTCATTTTGTTCAGTAAATTTAACAAATCCTAAACCTCAGGGAAAAAAAAAAAATATATATATATATATATATAATTGGAAAGGCAGATTTACAGAGAGGAGACAGAAAGATCTCCCACATGCCGATTCACTCCCCAAGTGGCCGCAGTAGCTGGAGCTGAGCCGATCCGAAGCCAGGAGCCACGAGCTTCCTCCAGGTCTCCCAAGTGGGTGCAGGGTCCCAAGGCTTTGGGCCGTCCTCAGCTGCTTTCCCAGGCCACAGCAGGGAGCTGGATGGGAAGTGGAACAGCCGGGATGGAAACTGGCACCAAAATGGGATCCCAGCGCTTGCAGGTAGATCACACGCTGAGCCGTTGCACTGGGTCCCAAGGTGTAAAACTCTGCAAGAGGTAGAACTTACAGTCTCACACGCACAAATCCACACGTCACGGCATCGGCTCTTGCGACGACCCCACGGCCAGTGGCGCCAGCACAGCTTGGGCAGAGGGGCTGGCTTCTCTCCACGACCGCTCCCTTGGGATCCTGTAAGGTCCTCCTGCAAGAATTACCAAGGGGTCACCCAATCAGCACCTTGAGCCCTCCCAAGGGCAGGGCCCCACGTGGCCCAAGGACCACCTGCTGCCCGACACCTCCCACCTGGACCACAGCACTTTCCATGTAAACCTTGGCTGTCACTGCCGACGCAGCGAACCCAGCCAGCTTCCACCGAGCGCAGTGCCCGCTGGGGACAGCGAGTCTCCTTCCCTTGCTGTGGAGGGACACACAGCAGGCCCCGGGAGGATGGTGACCCTTCTGCCCTCTGGTCTCCAAGGGGACCAGCACCAGCTGTCAGCCAGGCAAGCTGATTTCCTTTCTAAACACTTATTTTATTGGAAAGGCAGACTTACAGAAAAGATCTTCCACCCAATGGTTTACACGGCTACCCCCCACCCCAAATAGCCACAACTGGAGCTGAGGCAGTCCAAAGGCTACAGCCAGGAGCTTCTTCCAGGTCTCCCACGCGGGTGCAGGGTCCCCAGGCTTTGGGCTGTCCTCTGCCGCTTTCCCAGGCCACAGGCAGGGAGCTGGATGGGAAGAGGAGCTGCTGGGACCCGAACCAGTAACCATACGGGATGCTGGTGCTTGGCAGGTTAGCCAATGGAGCCATCATACCAGCCCCAAGCTGATTTCTAAGATCCGGGACCTGGGATCCCACCCAGAGTATCTCCTGTGTGTGAGCTGCATGCGCCCGAAATCCGGGGGTCCAGGGCGCCCCCGTGTGGCCGTCCCCTGCACCTGTCGTGGTCCCCATGCACAGCCAGCAAGGCTTGGCGCTTGTCCCTGCAGACCTAACCGGTTCTGTAATCAGGTGTTAGACAAGTCTCAGGCCAGTCGTGACTGTGGCTCCTGAGAAACGCCCGGACACTTAAGAGACCTGGCGTCTAACATCTGAATCCTGAAATGAAAATCCCAGAAGTGCTGCCTCAAGAGACAACTTCCCTAACGCTTTTTAAATTCCATTAGGGCCCCTAGCCCCTGCCTGTTCTGCCAGGCTAGTCTTTCCACATTAATGAGCTCTTGAATAAGTGGAGCCTTTAAGCCTTTCATGAGAATACAGATTTAAAATGTTATTTCAAAAAGGACTCAACTTTAAAAAGCTGGCTATTTCCATTTTCTAAGTGTGTGAGTGTGGCTGTGCATGCATGCTCTTTGGAGGACTCTGGGTGTGTACACGTGCGCATGGCCATGGCCAGGTCGAACCCCAAACAGTCCAGCGCGGACAGCTGGGCCAGGCCGGCCGAGGTGTGGGAGCTCGAGTCAGGTCTCTCATGTGGACGGCAAGACCCCAGGTCCTTATCACCTGGTGTCTCCCAGGGTGCCACCAGCAGGGAGCTGGCACTGAACACAGAGCCAGGGCCCAGACCCAGGCATGGGCATCAGGTCAGAATTCCAAAGAACAGGGCCATGCAGGAAGCAGCAGTGAGCAAGCGGCATGGTGCCACCTGCACGGGCCCCTCTGTGGTCCAGCTGCCCAGCCTGTCCTCCGTCATGCGCAGAACACCCGCCACCTCACCCTTGGCTCCCACCGCTTAGCTCCTCAGCATTGTTAGAATGCCTTACGCGGCAGCCTTCACCCTGCACCTCTGATGTCACGCTGAGGACAAACTCAGAATCTATTCGGTGTTCTCTTGGCAAGTCCGGCCCCTGGGAAGCACATAGCCCCATACCACATGTGTGAGCATTGTGCATGTATGTAAAACCCTGAAGCCTCAACACCGGTCATCTGTGGAATATAGTCCCTGACCAGCTCATCTTTGGGTACTGGCACCCAGCGGTAACTTGCCATGACGCTTAGTCAGCTAAGCGGTCAAGGTATGCCAGGAGACCAGTTAGACTGGGACGTATGGCTACGATCACGTCAGGCATTTGCGCATCTCGCCGGGCTCCTTGCAGAAGTCGTTGCACCGTGTTGAGTGGCCTGTGGAGTGCTGACACCTGTCTTATTCACAGGTCCCCTTCTAGAAGCTATGGGTATTTTGATATTTCTGCAGTGTTGAGCTAAGATCGTAGACTTTAGAGGTTTTAGTCTTCCAGGGTTATCAGCATTTAAAATTGTGTGGCCTTTGACGTTAGCACCCAAACTGGACCAATTAGAGGTACATGGTTTGGGTGGATGTTAAGAGCCAAGCATGCCGACCCCACCCGTGGGCACTTCCTAGCACCTCATTCCCAAGCTGAGTCAAGCTGCTGCCTGCAGTTCCAGCATCCCATCTGAATGCCAGCTCCAGTCCTGACTGCTCCGCTTCCCACCCAGCTCCCTGCTGATGCGCCTGGCATGGGAAAGCAGCGGAGGACGGCCCAAGCGACAGAGCCACGTGGGAGACCCAGCCAAGCTCCTGGCTCCCACCAGGCCCGGCCCAGCCCAGCATTTGGTGAGTAAGCCAGCCACAGATGAGACGGACTTGTCCGTCAGTCTAACCACCCGAGTCCCTTTGAAAAGTTAGATCCTCCCAACTCAAGAACTCCGAGAGGCAAGTAAAGCCATGGGTTATGAACTCTTCAGCATTCACTCAGATTTATTCTAGACACTGCAGGGCAGGGTAAGCTTCTCCGAGCACAGGAGGGAGGGGAGAGGCCAGCGCCCCAGCACGCCGCGGGAGCCCTTGGGAACAGCCCCACACCGCCACGGGACACGCGCGCTGGCCGTGCGTGTGCTACGTCAGCAAGGCCCCCTGGGGGACCACGCCCTGGATCTGATGCTCCTCTTCGAGCCACAGCTCCTGGACGATGGCCAGGTGGGGCACTCTGGCCTTCATCTGTGACAGGACCAGCTGGGACTCCTCGTCATACACACCTCTGTCCAGCCTGGGGAGAGGGAAGTGCACGCTTTCTTTACACACAACTGTGTCTCCACATCCCCATTCTTGCCTGCTTCATTCTTCAGCAGAAACGGCCAAGAATTGAGGCCAGCGCTGTGGCAAGGCAAGTTACCCTGCCACCTGCGGCTTTATCTGTGTGCCTGCACCCACGTGGGAGACCTGGAAGAAGCTCCTGCTTCCTGGATTTAGCCCGGCTGCCATTTGCAGCCATTTGGGCAGTGACCCCGTGGATGAAGTTCTTCTGTCCCTCCTTCTCTAATTCTGCCTTTCCAATAAATGCAACAAACCTGAAGAAATAAATGAGCAAGAACTGAGTTTGTAGAGTCGTAGCAACAAAGCTGCTGACTTATGTGGCACGATCAAAGTCCGTCAAGCTTGTCCTCAGATGGTCAGATTCAAGTTATTAAAGCACAGAGTGCAAGCCCAACGTGTCCCCCGCCAGCGCTGCGGCTCCTGTCCACGGTCTCATGCGCTCGCTTCAGTCAAGCCCGTTATCAGCATCCGAAGGGATAACGGCTAGACCCTCACAGGCGTCGGTCAAGTCCACGTACAAACAGCAGGGCTGCCTGCACACTGGTTTGCTTAAAGCTGCCGGACCTTCCGGGATGCCCATGCATGCCGTGTCCTTCCTCACGGGTGCTCACAGCCGAGTCCCTTGCCAGCACCCACTGCAGAGGGCACAGTTGGCAACTCTGCAATCCTCAGTGGCATTTGCACGCAGAAGTGGGCATCTCCTCACCCGTGGGTTTTCCCACCTCCGGAAAAGGGCCGAGCTTCCTGTGGTGCGGGGGCCAGTGGCCATTTGGCCACACCGCGAGGGCTGGGTCGAGGTTTGCTACCATGGAGCCGATGCACAAGGATGCGGAAGAGCCAGCCGTCACGGCCTCATTCCCATTGCTCACATCCCAACTGCTAGCCCTGAGCCCGGGAGCTGGGGCGCTGGCCCCGTGGATTCTGGCCTCCTGGCCCAGCCCAGGGCCCGCACATTTGCCCTGACTTCTGCCCTGGGCACTCACAGCTCCCTCAGGCCTGCTGGAGGGCATTTCCTGGCAAACCCAAGGGGCTGGAGCCTACAGGAGCATCGTGGAAGTCCCGTGGCTTCAGGCAGCAGCACAGGTGTCCTCGGGGCAGTGAGCGGTCAGTGCCCCTTGGAGGTGTGGTGAGGACGGGAGCTGCTGTGCGCAGGGCAGCAGAGCTGTGCCCGCCTCCTGCTTCTTCAGCCTAAGCCCTCCTCCCTTCTCCTGTCTAATGCCTCTGCCACAACCAGCACCTCTTTGCATCGCTCACTGCCTCGTTCACAGATGGTGTTTGGCAAACATCCCCTGGAAGACAGCCCCCCCAGGTGAGAACCGCCACTCCCCTAAAGTGTCTGGATGGATGTCTGTGTGACCGGGGAGGGCATTGGCTGGCATCGGAGTGGCCAGAGCTGAGGGGTTGCATACCAGCCTGCTACCAGGACAAGACAGTCTCCAGTCTCCAGCCCCAGGGAGCTCAAGCTGGGCCACCTGGACCATCCTTGTTCTGCAGTCACTGTCCCCTGCCACTGCTGACTCCATGTCCACTCACCCGAGCATGCGCAGCACACACTTGGGGTGGGCCAAGGCTGTACACAGCGCCTTCACTTCCTCACGTTGCAGCGTGATCAGGCTGAGGTTCAACATATGCAGGGTCTTGCAGGTTGCGAACACCACGGCCAGGTCTTCCAGGCAGGCGCCGGTGAGCTGGCACATCTCCAGGCTGGAAGACAGAGTGTCCCAGCAGGCCAGTCCCTGCTCGAAGCAGGAGACTGCCAGCAGCTCTCCAAAAGGGAGACACATTTATGCCACCAGAAGGTACTGCTGGCCACTCAGGGCCAGGATACAGCCTCCTACACGCACCAGGCAGTCCGCCCCCACCAAGTCCCCGAAGTGCCATCCAGTCCCAGACAGCGCTGGGTGGATACACGGGTCATCAGCCTGCTGTAGGCACACTTTTCAGCCTGAACTCCAAGGCCCCAGCTTTGCGATGGGGAGGTGGGGCCGCGAGGACCGACAGCACACATACCCAAGGCGCTGCAGGCGGCAGCTGGGCTGTCTCAGGGCTTTGCACAAGACTTTGACGCCTTCATCTTGGATACTATTGTTGCCAAGTTTCAGGGTCTTGAGGTTTTCACTGTTCGTGAGAACAGGAGCTAGGTGATGGCAGCAAGCCTGAGTGAGGTAGCAGCTCGTCAGCCTGGGGGAGGAAGCAGATGGAAACACAGGCTCAAATCCCCATGGTGGTGAAGGTGCCACCCTCCTGGCTTCCCGCTCTAGCCTCCCCAGCTCCCTGCAGCTCCGGCCCCCGGCCCGCAGCTCGGCCCCTCCCACCCCGGCCCGCTGCCCATCTCCATCCGAGTTGGCTCTCCTCCTCCCTGGCTGCTTGTTTCTGCCCAAGTCATCAGCAGGACTACCCCCTCATCGCATTCAATCTTCACACGAATGTCACCTTTCAGCGAGGCCCCCGTGACCGGGTTATGGGGTACCGTCTCCCCAGCCCCCTGACAGACCCCAGACCCTCCATCACCTCCTAACAGTGACATGTGACCCTTTCGGCAAATTATGGACTGACAGACAAGCAGGCATACATGCTCGCGTGACTCCTGTCGCTCTCCTGGACTTCGAACATGATCAAGGGGAATCTGGCAGTGTCTGAAAACGTTTGTTACCACACCCCAAAAGGCGCTACAGGGGATGGGTGGCAAGGAAGTGGCTCAATGCCATGGAACCATGACAAATCTGGGTCCAAATTATAGAAGGAGTCCAACACCTCAAGCAGGTGCACCTGAGTAAGTGGGTCTGACACCCCATGGAGGAGAGGGCCTTGGGGACAGGAGTGGGGCAACGGCTCAGGTCCCGGTTCAACTTGAAGAGTGTCCAGGCCCCAGAGGAAGCCGGCAGTGTCTCTCCCACATCTGACATTAACGGAACACACAGTAGGGCCCATCCCTGCCGAGCACTCCCCCAGGTGTCACTCCAGCCACTCCTCCTGACCCCCTAGGGCAGGACGACAGCTGGCCTCACCTACACTGTGCCCAAGTGGGTCACCTGGGCCTGGTGTTTGGGACTCCAGCGTGGGCCTGAGACCATGGGTGCATGCTGGCTGACCCTTCCTCAAGTGGAGACCTGAGGCAGTGCCCCACCAGAACCACACGGGGCCCGCTGCCCAGTGGCTGGGACAGGACGGCTGTGGACTGGTGGCTGACACACTTCCCGGAATGCGTCTCTCCCAGTTCTAGGCTTTGGTAGATGGGTCAGGGCCTGTTCCCTGCTGGTCAGGTGGCCCCTGTTTGCCATCCTCACATTGGGGAGGGGTGGGCATACTCTGGGCTCACTCCCGGGATCTGACATGGAGACAGCTCTCTGCTCATCTGCGCGTGCCCTCCCCGACGCCAACAGCAAGGTGGATGTGCCGGGCCACACCTACCATAATTCCTGCAGTTTGCAGCTTGATTGCTTCAGGGCCTCGCAGAGGATGGCCACCCCTCCGTCGCCCAGCATGTTGGAGCCCAGGTCCAGGATGCGCAGCGTCGTGGTATACACGAGGGCTTGGGCAATGTGGTTGCAAGACTCGGTGGTGACGCAGCAGAAGTTTAATCTGCAAAGGCGTAGCCACTGGCTGGTCAGCTCGACCCTGGTCACGCGCCTGGTGCCTTATGCTTTTGCCACTTACAGAATATTACCATCTCCCATTAAGAGCTTTTCTGAAGTGTTGAAGTCCTTTTTTGATGGTTACTAGACTTTCATTTCAGCATCTTCATCTACCTTCCATGGACAAGATGCCCCAAGCGTCCCCGTGGAAATGTGTCCTAGTGTATAGAATCCAGGCTGGGTGGCATTTTTGCAAATCTGCTGCGAAACTGGCATTCTCTCGAATATTTTCAATTACTAGTGTCTTCTTTTGACCTTCATAACCCTAACTTTTAAAATAAATCCATTCATGTTGATTAAATTGTAAGTTTTGGGCCAATATATCCCAAAGTAATTACCTATCAGTGCATTTCAATTATATTTATAATACTCAACGAGTTAAGGACCAAACCTTTTTTTCTACTGATTTTTATCCAACTGTAATACCTCCTGGTATCGCTCCCCGATTCTTCGGTTTCATTCAACGTTCTAAACTTTGGTTTACTGCAATGTTGAGCATCCTACATTCAAATTCAAAGTTGGAAACATTCAAGTATCTGGGATTTTGGGGCCTGGCACGATAGTGTAGCGGTTAAAGCCTTCACCTTAAATGTGCTGGGATCCCATATGGGCACTGGTTCTAATCCCGGCAGCTCCACTTCCCATCCAGCTCCCTGTTTGTGGCCTGGGAAAGCAGTCAAGGACGGCCCAAAGCCTTGGGACCCTGTACCTGTGTGGGAGACCTGGAGGAAGCTCCTGGCTCCGGATAAGCTCAGCTCTAGCCATTGTGGCCACTTGGGGAATGAACCATCAGATGGAAGATCTTCCTGTCTCTCCTCCTCTGTATATCTGCCTTTCCAATAATAAAATAAAGTCTAAAAAAACCCCTGGGATTTTGGACGCTGACATGACAGAAACTTCAAGCAGAAACTTCTGTACCCACCCTCATGTCATGCATCACGGTAAAGGCATGCTAAAGAAATGGTGTGTGACCACCACGGCGTCACGAGAGCCCGGCTGGCCCCATTCCCAAGCTACCTAGCATGTCCAGGTAAATACGCCAGTGTCACATATCCCCACGTCACAGGCTTTCGGGCCCAAGGGTTTGGACAAGCGCTATCTGCCCCACCCTGGCGTTCCTTTACAATCCCACGAGCAATTCAACAGCTGCTGATTCAGACAATTGGGCAAATGCAAACCCAGAGACTGCACAGGCACAGTGCCCGCCCCCCCAACAATGTATTTGTCTTCCATGGCACTTCTACTAGGACCCTGTTTTAGGATCCTGCAGGATTATTATTCTTTACTTCAACTAGATTTCCAACACTGGCCGCTCCCCCCCCTGGGGAAACAGACCCTCAGCACCATGGCTGCCCCGATAAGCCACCCCCAGGGGAAGTGGAGCAGACACTGTGGGACCCAGGAATGACCCAGCTAGAAGACAACCGAGTTCTTCTGTTGACCTACCCCCTCTGCCGCCACACCACTGCGATCCGTAACCGAGACGCTCAAGGAGCCAAGGGAGAGGCGGCATCTCGGAGCCAGCCCCGCACATCCAGCTCCCATGTGGGCACTGGCTCCCTTTCACCGTGGAGACAGGCCAGGACCGCAGAGGTGGCTCGGCCCCACCCGCATGCTCCATGGTCAGCGGCGCCTCCCGGCATCCACGCCCTTGAATGCAGGCTGCCGAGCTGTGGCCCGGCCCGACCCCCCAGTGTAACTCACATGAGCCTCTGCAGGGCGCACTGGCGCCGCCCCAGGTTCCTGCACAGCGCGATCACTCCTTCGTTGTTCAGCGCATTTTCCATCAGGGAGAGGCACTTGAGCGTAGTGTTGTAGTCGAGCAGGGAGCCGAGGTCTTTACCAGCTTGGCTTTGGATGTCACACTTGCCCAGTCTACATGGAAGACACAGGGTGGGGGGTGACCACAGGCCTGGGAAAGTCCATTGCGTAACACGTATTCTTCCGGTCTCACACCTGCCAACTACCGTCTACATCCAACTTTGGGGAAGCATAATCAGACCAGACTGTCCCCACTGACCACTTAGGGCTTCCCACCGTGACCAGGCAACATGTTCCTGGCCACGTTCATATTGTTTGATGCAGAGATGGGAGATCCAGTCCAGGATGTTAACACAAATTCAACCACAACCAGACAACAGACCCATCGAGGGGCCTCACTGGTCCATCTGGACAGCACAGCACCAGCACAGGAGGCCCAGACAGGAAAAAGCGCTTGGGTTTTTCAGTCCTGGGAAAATACAAATCATGTCTATCGCAATAGCTCTCCCCAGCAAGTGAGTAGAGTCTAGAAGGTCCACACCAGCGTTAGCTGGCAGGAGTGGCTCAAGCGGGGTGCCGTGTACCTCGGGATAATTTCACAGTATTTCCGGAAGTCAAACCTATACATTCCCCATGCCCACTCTGCAAACAAACTCAGAGAAAACAGGTGGGTTACTTACCAAGAAGCAAGTGTTAAAATGGACAGAGCTGTTGTGTGCGTCCGGGAAGACCCCCAACATGCAGCACAGGAACAGGAGCCCCGTGCAGCCCAGCGTGAAGCAAGCCCTGCACTCCTCACCTGCTGGAATGACTCGCTTCTATCTGTCAATGCTAAATTCTGCCCAGCAAGATACTTTGGTCAGGCAAGGCCTCTTCAATTTTGCTTTGTTTTCCTTAACAAAGGAGTTAAGTTTTTGTAGGCAGTGGCGTGGCAGGGAAGTGGCCGACTTAACTCGCCCACTGGCTTTCCCAGTATCATCATTTCCATTACTAATGTTAAAATGTTAAGCCTCTATATTACTGGTCTGGATTTAGCTATCAAGTTGCCTCATTCTGAAGTTGTATATTGGGTTCGGGAGATAAGATGGGACAATCATATGTTTCAGCCAGCATGTCCGTCCTTGAATTAAAAAGCACCCACTGGGAGATTTGTCCCAAGACACAAGGACACTGGCAGGCAGTACTAGATGCACGAAGTTTAGAACTTCTGTAGACTATCCCCTAAAGACAGAGGAAAATGCAGTATTTAGATTCAGTTGTAACTTACGAAACTTGGAAACAGCAACAGGATCTATCCTCACTGGAAGTCTCAAGATGATACTCATTAAAGACCAGACATCCTTGTACCATGCTGGTGGATTTTCCTGGCTTTCATTCCAAAAGATGCTTTCCTTGGGTGGCAACTGTCACATGTGCCCTTTCTGTACTATTGAGCGTACAGCCTTCGAGGCGATTATAAACTACAATGACTCTTAGGAAAACAGGTGTGGGTCAGAAAAGCTTGATCAAATCGTGCAGGAAACAGAGCAGAGTGTCCCATTTGCAGCCACAGCACAGCGCTGAATGGGAGTGGCCAGCACTGACCACGTGAGGCTGCCAGGCCAATCCCAGCCCCTTGAGATAGTCAAGTCGATGCCCTCCTTGCCAGAGCCTACCGACTGACCCTGGAACAGGGTTGTGGGTGACAACAGGCTCCTCCCCCCCGCAAGGACACTGGGGTAAAGTCTCTTCTCGCTGCAGGTGTCATTCTGACCTAGGATGCTCGTCAGCATCTCCCACCTCTACCTTCTAGGTGCCAAAAGCCATCAGCAAGGAATTTTGGCCACCAAGACATCTGCCAACACTGACCTTCGAGGACCAAGCCTCCATCCCTCACCCCAGCCCGGTGCCAACTGCCGAGTTACGGAGAACTGACTAAAGACCTTAATCCCAACCGCAAGCTGAAGTCAAGAGGCAAGCAGCTTGCCTGAACCGAGTAACACTTCCAGCTACCCAACGTCCAAAACTGACCCTTGCTGGACTGGCACTCTGCCATAGTAAGTCAAGCCTCTGCTGGCATTACGGGTGCTGGTTTGAGTCCTGGCTCCCTGCTGATATCCTGGGCAGGCAGTGCAAGAAGGGCCAAGTGCTTGGGCCCCTGCACTCATGTGGGAGACCCAAAGCGGCTCCTGGCTTCGGGTCAGCATAACGAGCTGTTGTGGTCATCTGAGGAGTGAAGGAGCAGACGGAAGATTTTACTCTCTAACTCCACCTTTCAAATAATTCTTAAGAAGGAATTGATACTGGCTATCCTTATATCTGGTACCCAACTGATGTTTACATAGAATGAAAACTAGCTAAATGCCACCAGCTACGCGACAGAAAAGCCATGAGTTTTCCCACATTCTCCTGGCAAGTGTTTGAGTAGAAAGATAAGCAAGGTGACTCTAACCCAGCAAGACCGAAGGACAAGACCTGCAGCTTAGGGACTCGATGCCTGCGCAGCGGGTCAGCTTCCGCGCAGCGTCCAGGGTGAAGTCCAACAGGAGCAGGTACCTGCGGTTCCGCCCACACCTTCACCACCTGCAGACAGAGCCCTAAGAGGACAGCCAGCCATCCCAGCAGCTGTCCGACTCCCCTCTGCTCCTTCTGGACACTAGACGGACTCTGTGTGCAAGTCACCCGTTGGGGTGACAACTGTTGGAGGGGAAGAAGTCACTCCAGGCCAGTATTGCTCTCTGGCTTCCAAGACTACTCTGGACATCTCCAACACCCCCCTCGGTCCAAGGTCCTACGATTAGCTTTGGGAGCAAATGGGGCCCACGTGTTGCTGAGGGCAGAATCTGGAGACGATTAAGACTCCAGGAGAAGCCAAGCAGTAGAGACAGGGAACAGCCAGAGAATCCTGGAGGAAGCCCTCCCTTTAGAATGCACCCTACTCTCCTGCAGGACCCGGAGGGCCCCCCTCCCCGCCGCACTCATCCCAAGATAGAGGACAAAGCAAAGATGAAGGTGAGGGCCCCAGGTTAAGAAAGCAAAGGTGACATCCCCCTTGGGGAGAGAAGCAGCAGCTCCATGACTCACATGAGCACCTCCACCTTGCAGGACGGGGCCCTCAGCGCCTCACACAGGAAGGAGACAGCCGGCTGGCAGAGGCTGGTGCCGTACAGGCTCAGGTATCGGAGGTGGGAGCTGTGAAGCACCGCCTTGCAGAACTCCAACCCGAGTCCGAAGTTCTTGACAAAATTACACCTACAAGTGGCGAGGAATGGCATCAGGCAGCAGGGTACACACACACACACACACACACACACACACACTGTTCTCTGTATTACTCTTGCCTGTGCGTTATTTTTGGCCAAGTTGTGTAGACCGGACCACAGAGCATCGCATTGCCAACATCTTTCATAATCCCTCTACTTTACTTAACATGCTATGTATTGTACACAAGGCAATTACTGGCCACTCTACTTCCGGGCCAGCTCTCTGCATGTAGCCTGGGAAAGCAGCAGAGGATGGCTTAAGTGCCTGGACACCTGGAAGAGACCGGAAGAAGCTCCTGGCTCTGGATCGGCTCAGCTCCAGCCATCATGGCCATCTGGGCAGTGACCCGTGTCAAGACATGTCTCTTCTCTAACCGCGACTTTCCAGTAATTCAAAAGAATATTTGGTACTTAAAATATGTCAATCCTGTTAGCTTTATTTTCAGTTTTATAAACCAGGTCTATATAAACTAGCTCTATGCAAATATAAATGAAATAAAAGTTAATATGCATGAATTCTAAAGGTCCGGGGAAATGGAATTAAAACTCGACTGATTCTGGGGGAAGGAGTGTGGGCACACTTCCCTAGCACAGTGATGTGTTCGCACCCATGACTCCCTCTGCCGACACACAGGGCTGCACTGCCGCCGTGCGTGGGTCCCCCAAGGGGCAGGGCTCAACTCCCGGCTTCCCAGACGGGCCAGAGGCAGACTCACGACAGGCTGTTTAGTCGGCACGTGGGCTGGGCCACGGCTTTGAGGAGGATAGACAGGGACACGTGGTCCAGCGTGCTGTTGTCCAGTTTCAGCACCTGGAACTTTTTTCTCTGGAATGCTGAGCAAAATTCCTTCCAGTATTGGATGGTTTCCGCTTCACTACAGAGAGCAAAATATGACGCTCAGCCTCTGAAGTCCAGCCAAGACCCCCTCAACACGGACACTGAGGCCCCTCGAAACCCACCAATGCAGGCTGGGGTGAGGAGCTGGCACTGTGGTGGAGTTTAACCCTTACTTGCTGGGTGACCTGGACACGCAGTTCAAGGTTACTCTACCCTTCTTATTGGGGAAGATCCTTGGTCGTAGTGTGAACCAGGGTTCATATTTGCAAGCTCCTCAATGGACAGTTTCCAAAGACACGGTGCCCGGGGCTAGGCATCCAAGAGCTGAACTGCAGAGCAGCTCAGCAGGATGTGGGGGAAGGACAAGAGCAGGGGACAAGCGGAAAGACAGAGGAAGACAGGCACAGGCCAGGAGGCGTGGGCAGGGGGGGACGGTAAGAACCACCCACTTTCACCCTCACACCAGGCCCCTCGAGTGGACAAAGCTTCCTTGTCTTTAGATGGGAGATCATTGAAGTGGTTGCTCAGGGTCCCACATGTAGCAGGTGGCAGCCACGGGGCTCAAAAGCCGACTGCTAGCCGCAGTGCTAACCATCTAAGCATAAGGATGTGCAGAGTACTCCCGGGTCCCCAAAGCCAGAGGGGTGCAGGCACCGAGTGGGGGTGGCCTCACCTGAAGGCCTGATCCTGGTAGGGGAACACCTTGTTGACACACAGGTGCATCATTTTCAGGTTGCAGCAGTACTTGAGGCAGAAGGAAGCGATGACCATGTGGTCGGCGCTTTGAATGTTGAGGAACAGATCCTCGAAGAAAGCCATCGCCCTGAGGACAAACTGCTCGTCCTGGCTTTCAAACAGTGCCAGGAACAGCACCTCATAATTGATGTCTTGGGCAGCCGTTTTGCTCAGGCACTGCAGGGTCTCCAGGATATCCTCTCTGATGGCCTTGGATAGCTGGAAGCCCAAGCGGGACTCCAGGAAGCCGAGGATATTCCGGACCGAGAGGTTGAACAGGAACATCCCTGTGTCGCACAGGTTCGTGTGCTCGCGCCCCATGCTCGTGGCCACCAGGTGGGCCACTGTGCCGATGTTGCCCACGGGTGGGTCTCTGGGCTGCCTGAGGAAGTAGGACAGAGCAGCACAGTAACCTTGCAGGGAGTTGTTGTTGAACATGAAGCGCTCCCCTCTGGGCCGCAGGAACTTCAAATTCAACCACATGGCCACGTCCTCCTCGGAGACCCCGTGCCGCATCATGTCCCCCCGGCTGTACACATATGTCTGAGTCCACATGCCCTCTGCGGCCAGGGCGCACAGCCCCTTGAGGCGCGCTCTCTTGGCGTTCGGTGGGACTCTGCCCGCCTCTGCTGTCCGCAGAGCCGAGGTCAAGAAGCTCGAGTAGAGGTAGGTGGAGGACTGAGGGTAGAATTCCAGCCTCTTTCCGCGGTCCATCTGCCACTTGAGAGCCGTACACACCAGCCACGTGGTCAAGGGGCTCTCGCAGCTGACCCAGAGAGGCCGAAGGCTCTCCACAAACTCTAAGGCTTGGCTGCGCTGTCGCCGGTCCTCAAAGAAGTGGTAGAAATAATTCTTTCTGTGGATGTCTATGAGCGGCAGCATTTGCAGCTGGCTGGGATGCTGCAGCAGGGAGCCATGCCTGGCCATGCTCTGCTTTCCGAAGCCCAGCAGCAGCGAGCACTCTGGAAGCATGGTTTTCTGCAGCAGGCTGCTCAGGAGCACGGCCGGGGGCCATCGTCGCCTCCAGTCGCCACGTGCGTCCGTCCTGAGCTTCAGGTCAAACTTGAGCCGCTCAAAGCCATCCAGGATGAGCAACACTCTGCTTGGCCTTAAGAAGACGTCTTGGAGGGCCCCGGCTTCCGGAGGCCAGTCTCCCAACAGCAGCTCCTCCAGGCTGGTCTCCTCCAGGCCGTTCAGTTCAAAGACATGGATGAAGAAGACATGCGTGAACGTGTTGCTCCAGATGGTCCCCTTGGCCCACTCCAGCATGGCTCTTCTCAGGAAGATGGTCTTGCCGACCCCCTCGGGGCCACTCACGACCACAGTGCAGGGCCCCGGAAAGCGGCCAACGGCCGTGAGCAGCGCGTTGAACTCATTCTCCACAGTGCTCATGTACTGCCAATCCGGGACCGGAACGCGGGTCTCCTCGGTCCAGATCAACTCCAACTTCTCCCTCATCTGAGCCTTGTGTGTCTCTGATCTCCCTGAGTCAACAAAACAAGACATGTGAAACACACAGCCTCATCCTTTTAGTCTTGAGAAGTTTGATACTTTTTTTTTTGAAACAGCTAAGGAGGGAAGGGGAAGGGAGACAGATTTTTTCCATCCATTGGTTAATTCCCCAAGTAGCGACAACAGCTAGAGCTGCGCCGATCTGAACTTCCAGGTCTCCCACACAGATGCAGGGTCCAAGGACCTGGGCCAGCCCGTCCTGCTTTCCCAGGCCACAAGCAGAGAACTGCACTGCTCACAGAGCAGCTGGGACACGAACTGATGCTGTGGGACCACAGTCAGAAGCTTGGCGTGCTATGCCACGATGTCAGCCCCAGACATAGTGCACAGTGACTAGAAATCGTGTGCAGAACCAGAAGGCTCACGTGGAAGCCAGAGGCCAAAGCCAAGTGCAACATGGACCTGGGGATATGTCCTAGGACAGTGGCTGCACAGCGGGGAGCCACCGGCACGGCTGCTCCCTGGTGTCCTCAGCAAGCAGCAGGACTGAGCACTGGCCTTGCTCTGTAGGCCAGCAAGACAGGAAGATTAATTATGTAAGCTCAGCACGCACGCACGCACGCACACACGCACGCACGCCCTGTGCAGCCTCACACTCGCACTGCTTGTAAAACCTTCGCTCAGTCCAGCAGATGGTCACGATCAAGCGTCTACACTGACTTGAGACCAGAAGCTGTCGGTTCTACCTGGCCCGCGGTGTCCACTTCAGCAGCGCACGCCTGGACCGTCGTGTTGTCCAGTGGGCTTTGCTGCGTACATTTCACATCCGGCTTATTTCAAGGGAAGTTAAGGTGAGCTCTGCCTACAGACGATGCCCGGCCCTGAGCCGAGGACGATCTCCAGGCGTGTAAGATCCAGCACACACTGCGACTACTCCAAGACACCCCAGGAGAAGAGCTAAAGCCCTCTTGGCACCATGTAGCAAGGACTCGCCACGAGGAGCGCCTGGCCTGTGGTCCCGAGGCGAGCGGGGCTTTGCGTCCTGCGCAGGAGGCAATGGACGTGGACAATGCCCATCAGTTCCTTAGTCCATTTACCGTATCCGTCTCCAGCTGACCCCACATGAGAGTTACTCCAATCAGAAACTGGCCCTACAGAGTGAGCTCCGCTACCCCCAGTGGCTCTCTAGGACTCACTCCGTTGTTATAGACCTGAGCCAGCTGCCCGGTCCTCGTCTCCTCGGAGGTGGAGACACAGGTCCCTGGTGACTCCCCTAGAGCATCAAGGTCCCCAAGCCCGCTTTCTGCCTGGGCGTAACTCCTGTTTCTTGTGAGAAAGCCGCATGTTCATTCTTACCCAGTGGTTCATCCCCATCGGCCAAGGCACACAGGATGTGTCACCCTCAGACGTTGCCTGTCAGGGTGCCCCGGGCAACCCTCAGCCCAGCTCAGGGCAGACACCTCAATGGCCAGCATAAGTCATGGCTGACGATGGGGAAACAGCAGCATGAAGGGAGCCAGTGTCCCTAGGCCCCTCCTAGGGTGCCTAATTCTTGGACTCCATCTCAGTTCTGTCTGCTTGTCCTGGAGTTGCCCACACCACCAAGGCAAGGGGAGTTTCCCTAAGCAACGGGACAGTGTAGCCCACATCCAACGCAGGAGCAGAGAACCACCTGATGCTCTTTCTGGGCACCTCTGTCAGCCCTTGCTTCTGGGTCCCCTTATTCCCCTCCCTGCATTCAAACAAAAAAACCTGCAAACGCTCAAGCCGTTTCCCCAAAAGCCAGCATCTGAAGTCTGACACTTCACTTTGCCGCTTGCTTTTCTACACCTTTGCTTTGAATCAAGTCTGTCACAAGGGAATCAAGAGGGCGGAATAAGGTTTAAGCAGATGGCGAAACATTAGCCGGCGTGAAACAGAAGGAACACTCCAGGAAACAGAATGACAGCAGAGGGGCGCCTGGAGACTGACGTCGGAAAGCAGCGGACACAGCGGTGTGGTGTTGCAGTGACTGAACCTCCAGCAGCATTCAGCAACCAGGTGGGAAGGGGCACTCACTGGGAGCTCAGGAGGTGAACCCAAAGAGCTGCCCGTCCTGCTGGTCTGTTTCATTTGACCAGGAGCAGAGACAGAGCAGCAGATCTTAGACTGGCAGTGCAGGAACAGGATGGATTTCACAGCCCAGGCCACTTCCTAGAGCCGAATCGGGAGCCATGTTGTTCAAAGGAGGAAAAGGCTATGGACAGTACTGCGCATGCACTGAGCTGGGAGTGAACTCATTTCTGGCTCAGTGGACTGCAGCTACATGGCATCCTACAGGTTCCTCCCAAGACGGGTCCAGGTAGCCCTCAGACTGCTGGCCAGAGCAGTGGCACATCGGGCGCCATTTGGTACACCGTGGCAAAGGCTTTAAGACTGCAGGGACAACAGTGAGCTGCGCATGCACGGAGCTCGGCGAAAACTCATTGAGTTCAGTGCATTGCACTGGTCCACGGGAAGACACCCACTACGGCATCATACGGGTCAAAATAGGTCCATGTGGCCCTCAGACCTAACGGCCAACAGGTTCTGGCAAGATCAGCACCACCAACACCCTAGCTATATAGGACACCTGGTGTCTCCCTAATCCTGGGACCTGCTCCAACCCCAAGTGGGAGGAAGGATGTACAGACAATGGTGCAGCCTCAGCACGGTGTCACAGGAGGTGGAGAACATTCCAGGAACATTATTTACAGAGCTGGAAAAAATGATACAATGATTCATCTGGAAACAAAGAACCACAAATAGCCAGAAACATCCTGAACAGTAAGAATCTAACGGGAGGGATCCCACAGCAGACGTTCGAACAGAGAAAGTGTGCACACTACACAGGGCAAGGGGCCAAGTTTCAGAGAAACCGTAGAACAAAGCAGTCGAGATGTGCAAGGGAAACGGGCAGACGCTTTACAAAGGAACAAAACTCCAACGTCTAGCAGACACATGAAGAAAGGGCAAGTTCCTTAGGGAAATTCAGACGAGAACACCGAGGGTGCACGTAACCCCAGTAAGGATGGCTCAAATACAGAGAACACACACCCCCATCTGCTGGCGAGGATGTGGGCAGAGGAACCTCGCCTCAGGGCTGGAAGCACTGCAGGCTGGTACAAGCACTATGAAAGTCAGAATGGACAATACTCAGGCAACTGAAAATCCACCTGCCATTCGGGCCAGCAACACCACTGCTAGGAATATGTCCAAAAGACCTTTTACATGACAAAGCAGCATGCACACCTATGTTCCGAGCATCACAACCATGAATCAAAAACACGGAAGCACGCCCAGCACCGTGGCCTAGTGGCTAAAGTCCTTGCCTTGAACGCGCCGGGATCCCATATGGGCGCCGGTCCTAATCCCCGCAGCTCCGCTTCCCATCCAGCTCCCTGCCTGTGGCCTGGGAAAGCAGTCAAGGACGGCCCAAAGCCTTGGGATCCTGCACCCATGTGGGAGACCCGGAAGAGGTTCCTGGCTCCTGGCTTCAGATGGGTGCAGCACCAGCCATTGAGGTCATTTGGGGAGTGAATCATTGGACTGATGGATCTTCCTCTCTCTTCCTCTCTGTATATCTGACTTTCCAATAAAAATTAAATCTTTAAGAAAAACATGGAAGCAACCAAAATGCCCATCAACAGAGGACTGGATAAGCAAGCTTTGGTCCAACTACTCTATGGAATACTACTCTATTAAAAAAAAAAAAAGGAAATATACTTCTTTAGTCAAATGGGCCCAACTGGAGATCATTATGCCAAGGGAAGTGAGCCAGTCTCAAATGGTCGGATATCATGTTTACCTTAATATGATATCAAATCCAATTGTACCTGTAAATTTTATCTTATTGCACTTTCTAGTTGTTTGTACCCACATAACAAGATCTTGTGCTGTACCTATTTTAAAAAAAGATTTTTATTGCAAAGTCAGTGAATACAGAGGAGGAGACAGAGGAAGATCTTCCACCTGCTGATTCACTCCAAGTGACCATAACGGTTGGAGCTGCACCGATCCAAAGCCAGGAGCTCTTCTGGGTCCCAAGGCTTTGGGCCGTCCTAGACTGCTTTCCCAGGCCACAGGCAGGGAGCTGGATGGGAAGTGGGGCTGCCGCGATTAGAACGGACACCCATATTGCATCCCGGTGCTTTCAAGGCGAAGACTTTAGCTGACAGGCCACCATGCCAGTCCCATGATGCAACAAATTAAACAATAATTTATTAGAAAGAACCCAAACCTGGAAATTGCTGGAGGGAGTGGCACAACTGACTGCAAACAGAGAGCCAGGTGCCAACCACAGTAAGTAAAATTAACTGTAGACTTGTGGGTGACACAGCTTAGAAACCTGCCATAAGAGGGAGAGCAGAGAAATCTTACATCACCCTAGAAAGTGTGAGGAAGACGGGAATCATAGCTGGTAACTCAGACTTGAATCCGCATTAGACAATAGCAACACTACGAAGGCATATGGGGAGAATCAGGAGCAATCCCAACAACGTCTTAACAGGAGGTCATATGCACAGAGCAGGGGGGTCCCCAGAGTGGTGCAGGCAGACAGGAAGAGGCTTGTATCCCAACCCTGAAGACTCCCAGATCCTCACCAAGGACTATCAGAAAGGGCACCGAGGACTACATCCCAACTGCCAAGGAGACCACAGGAAATTAGAGTGCCTTCGGAGGCTGAGAACTCTGAGGTCATCCACCCCCGTTTGGGTCTACCACATGGGCTGGAAGAAGCCCAAATCCTTCCTTGCAGGATCCAAGGTCATCGGAACCACAACCAGAAGCACTGAGCGGTCCGCAGAAACAGAAGAACAGTAAACTTCCTTAGGGACTAGGGAGAGGAGCTGTCTCTGGTCCTTACCTAGTTCCAACTTGGGGTCCCAACCCTCACTAGCAAGGACCATCAGGATTGCTCCGAAACCCCTCAAAACTAAACAAACAAAACAAAACAAACAAAAAACTAGAATAGACAGAACAACAAGGAAAGCTTAGAAGCAGACAGGAAACG